TCATTCAAACGATAATAGCATATCACACTTGGAAATGATAGCATTACAAAACAGTGTGTTTCGTTTAAGGGATGGTACGATCCCACGCAAAGACTTCGATATTTCATTATGTTGCTGCCTATTTGTTACTCCATGAAATGAACGAACGATTTTTTTAATTCAATGCCTTTGTCTTTCACAATGTATCATTGAGTCGGATACCTCCCCAAACAGACATTTCCCCACAATAGTGGGACAATTACCCACACCCATTTCAATGAATGGTCATTAACTTTTTGTATGGATTACATACAGATCTCACTAAGCATATGTTTTACGTTGTGCATGCATGGAGGATGAGATTAAAGGAGAATGCAATTGTTTTTTCTGTTTCTAACAACTAGTTGAGGATAAGGATACTGGAATAGACTGAACAGACTGGAGAAAACATCAAATGAGGGATAGATGGGATAGATCCTCATCAAATGAGGGATAGATGTGACATTTCTCACAGGGTAACAGTCACATTACCTTGTGATCATGTTTACGTTCTTCTTTACAGTTTCGAAGAACTGTACGAAATGGAAATGAATTAAATTGGAGAACGAGAGAAGAAATTAGTAGTCAATGATTTTCATAAAGCATTCTCCGTTTAATAAACAACAGTTGTTAATACAGTACCTGTCTGGAGGAATCCCATTTCCAAAGCTTTCAATGTTTAAAGAATTAAAGCTTCCAGACAACCATCGCTATTTCTCTTCTGACTAAGTCTTTATTTCATTGTAAGATGATCGAAATTATCTCAAGACTCGATATGCCAATTGTTACGACATTATGTCTGCTGTTAAAGTACGTAAGGAGAGTAACTATGGATTGACACTATCACATATATTCCTGACTTTTGGCATGATGTTAGCATTTAGTGAGATATCAGCCCATTTCAACTGTTATTGGTAATAAGGGTGTTCAATATAAACACGAATAACCTTCTTTCCGTCTGATGAGTGAGTAAGTATTTCAGCCACATCGTGACTAGCACAATTTATACACCAACGATATCTGAAACACGTCGACGGTGCACAGTATAATAACTAGATTATCGACGATTTTATGGACAAATTTGTAGCAGAAAAGGTAAGTATTTGACAGTACAACAAAAGACCGGGCGAGCCATCATACTAGCGACCATGGGGACTTATGGCACCTCTGCTATCTGCATGGTATCCAAGCAAGATTTACACCCTCTCTCTGTTTGTGCGATTGTCAGAAGGTGAAGCCGAATATTAAAAACAAGTATTCATGTACTACGATAAAAACTTATTTTACGCTACTTCAAACTCCTTCGAGGGTGAATAAAAGCAACAGAACCGTTTCCATAATGATAAGAAATCTCTGCTGAAAGCAGAGTCGATTGTTCGATTCTGACTATATCATGAGCAGGTGTTCGTGAATCACTATCATCTGGCGATGATATCAGGTGTTCGCAAAGAGGTGAGCATGGTTACGACGGTGGGGTGGTCCGTCGTTAACATCTTCTGATGAGAAAACGCTGAACAATGAAGCTTAAACGTCACACAGATGTACTTCTTATCAACAATGATGCCGCCCCAATTTGTTTAATCCGATATTCAATATTGAGGCCGTATTAAAAAAGCTATATATGGCCATTACTCGGTCATGTTTGTTCAACATGTCATGATATACACAAAGAAAAAAGTTAAGCACACCCTAATATATTTCATTATTGTTTGGTCAGAATTTTTGTAACAGTCATAAAAATATAATTACGGGAAGAATTATGTTTTCTCGAGATGGTGTAATCAGTCATGCGTGATGAAAGCTCACGTGCCATGCATGGTAGACCCGTGCAGCATGCTACCCTCGGGTATCTCTAAAAACAGATTTTTGCCATTTGACATGGTGCCGGATTAGGGGTGTGCTGAACTTTTTTCTTTGTGTATAGTTGGTACATGTGTTGTTAGTAGGGGGACTCAACACATGTGTTACTTTTTTCCCTTTTTCGCTATATTTTGACCTCTACTTGACCTGTGCACTTTGACCATGCTCTTAGATTCTGTCATAACTCATTTCCTCGCATTTGGAAAAACATCTCCTCAGAAACCGCTGGACCAAAATGAATCTCACATGCTTCTTCAACACATAGGTTTCGTTTTTGACGTCGTTTTGATCATGCTCTTAAATTCTCTCAAAGTGTTTATGTACTACGTTCAGACAATAAACGAATTAGGAGATAAACCTACTGTGGTTTGAAAGTGTATGTAGTCCGACTGTAGATTAGATACCGCTTATTTTAATTATGAACCGAGCGCGAAGTTTCAAATGTATTGCATATTGCATTGTGCTGCATAATATTACCAAGAACATTGACAGTTGCTAGGTTTAACAGATTGCGCGACAGGAAAATTAGTATCATGAATCCCGGAACCAGCAAAGATACAAAATAAAACATACCTTTAATGATAATCCAAATATCCCAAATCCGAGTTTAGTTCAGAGCGGATCAGTGATCCATACAAGTAGAGAAGGGTTGTTTGTTGCCCCTCCTGACTTTCAATAAATCTAGCGCCTTCAAGGAAGTAGGCGTAGGTTAATGTTCGTCATTCAGCTCAGAGCCGTGCAAGTTTCCAGTTAGACATTTAGTTGTGGAATGGAACTACGAGTGTATCACGAGATATTTGGAGGCGCGGCAACGGGTTCGCGTAGAGAACGAGTAACGCCCATCGAAATATCGAGTGCACAGGAGTAATTCCATTCAACAACGAGCTTGCATCAGGGATTGCCTGACTGACTGGCTGATATAGGAGATGTAACGTGCGCTTTCCGACTGTAGCGTATTTCGCACACGGGCCTGGCCGGACCATTTATTGTATTCCGAAAAGGGTGAAAGTGATGTGTGCAACCCAAGTGGGGGCTTTTAGGGGTTGCTTATATTGAATTTTTGGAATTTTTAAATTTGGGATAAATGCCGAGGTGGGTGGAGGAGGGAACTAAGGGAGCCGGGTGAGGTGGGTGTTTGTATGTTTATTGGACTTTGGATTGGTAGATTAATGAGTTTTTAGATGCGCTTAATGAGGTCTGTTTTGATTAGGAATACGCCTAGGGCCTTGAAGTTTTCCAGTTTATTTTGAGGGTTTAGTATTTCATCTAGAGTAGGAACCTTATTTAGATTGAGGGTGGTTTGTAGTGTGGTTCTGTGTGTTTGGTAGTGGTTGCAGTGGATGAGTGCGTGTTCTGTGGTTTCGGGTTGTTTGCAGTGGGGGCAGTTGCCTGTGGTGTGTCTTTTAAGTTTTTTTAGGTGGTTATTTAGGTTCGTGTGTCCTGTTTGGAGTTTTGTAATTAATCTGTCAATTTTTTTAGAGGGGTGTAGGATTTTAGGTTTGGCTAGTGGTTTTCTACGCACTTTTTTATTTGGCTATTTGAGTTTTGATATTGATTATGTCATTATTTGGTTATTTTTTGTTTGTTTACACTTTTAATTTCTGATTTTGAGGTGGGTAGGTTTAGGCTTATTTCTGGTATTTTGAGAGATAATTTAGCTGCTTTATCGGCGCTTTCGTTGCCGTAAATTCCTACGTGGGCGGGGATCCACAAGAAGGTTATTTGTTTGCCTGCTTTTGTTAGGTCGTTGGAGCTTTTAAGTATTTGGTTTATTAATTTAGGTCGTTTTTTGGTATTTTTGTTTTGGAGGGCTTGTAGTCCACTAAGGGAGTCGGTGAGAATTAGGATTTTATTGTTGTTTTTAGATTGTTGGTTATGCAGGGCTGAGGCCATGCCCATAAGTTCGGCCGTGAATATAGATTGGTTGTTAGGGAGTCGGTAAGATTGTGTGGATATAACTGGTTGTGTGGTATGGACTCCGAAGCCTGTGTGGTTGGAGATCGGGTCTGAAGATCCGTCAGTGTATATGTGACACCAATTTGGCCAATTAGGGATTGCCTGAAAGTCGGGCCAAGAAAAGTCGGGCCGGGCCAGCGGGTAATACTAAAAAATGAATTGCAGAATAATAAAACGAAACGTGCATATCCAGGCAGATCTCAATTGTCCAGAAACGCATAGTTTTGCTCATTTAGTCGAGTTTGAATCAAAGTATCTTCAGCAATGTTGTTGCATTAAGTGTTTAAGAGGTCGCCTTCTGCCTAAGCAATTTCGGCTGACCTGTCCCTCTTTGGGACTCCTGTGTGTGAGTAGGGTACACATATATATTGTGAGTTTGGTATTCACATAATTTCTGTTTTTGTATTGATATGATTTCTATTTTCTTATATTGATATGATTTCATTTTTATCCTTGGCTGCTCTGTTTATATACGTTCGAGTAGCTGACAGTGTCCATCTCTCAGAAATAGAGTTAGTTTGGCCTTCGCTGTTGCATCTCTTGGCTTTAGGAGATCTATGACAGATAGCGGATCTAGCTGCAATTCTTGTTTTAACCTAGCCCGGGCTGGGGCGTGGTCTTGACATTCTAGTAGCACCCGAGCAATGGTTTCAGCCTGATTGCAAGATGAACAAACCTTGTCATAGTGCTATTTGTGACCGAGTCTGAGGCGTGAGATAGCAATTTCAATTTTCCTTTCATTTGAGCATGAGTTTGGCTTTTGTTGGACCTTGGGTTTAATTTTGTATAGCCATCTGCCTATCTTACTTGCGTCCAATTGGGCTTGCCATCTTTCTGCTTCGTTCGTTCGTTCATTCAGAGATTTAACGTGCGCTTTCCGCGTGTAATAAATTACACTTTAGCGTATCTCGCACACTATACTATTGGGGGAAAAAAGCATAATGAATAAATAAAGAAGTGCGACCCAAAAAAATGAAAATTAGGTAAACCTAAAATGATGATCTAGGGGGGTGGGTTTTGGCTGGGAGGGAGGGGGTGATAAGAGAATAATAATAATATGGAAAAGTTGGGCTTGGTTGGGGGGGGGGGGGGGGGGGGGGGAGGGGGTCAGGCGTGGGAAGGCACGGCGTCGGCTGGCGAGCTGGTGTGGTGGTGGAAGCTGGAGCTTACTGTTTCTCCCCAGCCAGGAGCCTCCTGGCTAGGTCAAGCTCCCCTGGAGGGAGAGCTTGGAACAGTGCGGTGGTGAGGCGGGCGGCGGCGTTGGTGATGAAGAGGGGGCTGACTTCAAGATCGCAGTCGACAAGGAAATCCGAGAGATCCTGGTAGCTGTGGATTTCATGTTCAAATCTCTCTTCTCCCCAGTACTGCACCAGCACCATGGGTGGGCGTGGGCGGTTGCTGGGGTATACCTTGCCGCTCTCATGCTGGTAGCAGGGGTTAGGGTGGACCTTGTGCTGCTCCAGGATGAGGCTGGCCTTCTGGGCAAGGTCGACACGGACGTCTTTCTCAACAACTGGTTCCGGAACCGGGTCGGTTTGGACTTGGCTGGTGTTGAGGGAGGGGCCTGGTGTTACGGCGGTCTGTGTTTCCGTGGTCTTGCTTGTAGGTGGTGATGGGGGGGGGGGGGGGGGGGAGTCAGGGGAGGAGATACTTTTCCTCTTTCTCTTCTTCGTTCCGTGTCCTGTCCCTACAGGCGTGCGAAAGGGCTCCTCCCCTCTGGATTCGAGGGGAGCGAGTTCCAATGCTGCTGTTGGGGGCGGAGGGGTGGTGGGTAGGCTCTCCTGGATCTCCATGGCGGCGACTGGTGGAGCCTTCTTCACTTTGGGCGGCCTAGCCTTCTGTACCGGGCGTGGTGCAGCAGGGATAGGGGCCGGGGTGGTTTTCTCCTTAGGCTTGGTCTTGGCCGGAGCTTTGACCAGAGGCCGTTTCCTTTGACCTAAGTCAAAGGAGATGGAGAGGGTGGAGGAGTTGGACTTGTAGGAAGTCCTGAGGGAGTAGTCCCCAACCCTGAAAGCCAGCAAGGGCTCCAGGATGGCAACTAACTCCCTCGGTAGCGACAGAGCGATGTCTCTCATAGTTGAGCGTGGGTAGCGAGTCTGCTTTGTCATTTCCATGAATATCTATGTGAGAGGGGATCCAACACAGCTCCACCTGTTGCCTTTGGTCCGATAGTTTTGTATATTCGTATAGAATATTGTTGACTGTGTTTGGCCTGGAGGTTAAGTTTCTGCCACTGATGGCTTGAAGTGCACTTAACGAGTCTGATAGATAAAACAAAACAGTGAGATCTTGAGTTAAAGAGGAGCCATTGACCTGTGTTCACCAGACCATAAATACAAGGTCGGACCGTCTTAATTAGTGTTCGGTTGCTGGACTTTTATGGCATGGCCCATTCCACGAGGGTCCAGTCTAGCTATTGGGACTAGCCGGGTTATCTCCCAAAACCCCTACATCCCATTTCCCCTACAACCCAGTTCCCCTACAATTAGTTAAAACAACACGCGGCATTTACCTGTCTGGTATTATGAACTCACCTAAAGGAGAGATTAAGGTCTGGAGTAGAGGTAGTAGAAATGAGTTGAGATGACTAGGTTTAGTATATAGATACTTGAAACTGACTAACATGACATCAACATGTCTGGGCTTCGCTATGTTGAGTTTGTTATGTCACAGAGAGGAAAGCCCCAAGTCCTATTTGATCGTTATCTTCACACTAAGAACGTCGAGAGACTGACTTGCGTACACTATTATTTTGTTATAATGTATTATGAATTTTGAAAAATGAACATTTTATTATAATGTATTATGAATTTTGAAAAATGAACATTTTATTATAATGTATTATGAATTTTGAAAAATGAACATTTTATTATAATGTATTATGAAATTTTAATAATATCGTAATCGTAATTTAATATTTATCTCAATCTATTCGTGTTTCTTGGGTTGTTCCATTGTATGAAATAGGTAATAGACTAGGGATTAGCAGTGCCATGGACCGTGAACTTTGTTGTCTTAAGCTGTAGGGGAAATGGGATGTAGGGGTTTTGGGAGGTTACCACTAGCCGACAGTAGAACAGTAGTGAATTTAGATGCGGGTATATTGCTGGGGAACACCGAGTTGACACGATTGTCGCGGGTTGGTAAATGTTCGCCATTAATGAAGTCATTGTTTGTGGATTGCGGACATATTCGTTTTAAGTTTTGCCAACATGAGTCATTCCAGGTGATTGCAAATATTACGCTTTTCGTACGCCAAATTTATGCTTTAGATAGTACAATTTTGATAGAGTTGTCACCACTACTACTGTCGTATTTTTTCACGTAGGGATATGTTCCATTTCCCCACTCCTCACTTTCTGTTTTGTATTTTGTAAGAGTTAATAAGAGAAAGTTTTGTGTGGGATTCTAATATGTATCACTAATTCTAAGAGAAGATTGGTAATGAATATGAACAGCCATGTTGTCTGACTTTGATAGAATTTGAGATCTTCACAATCACCGGGTGTGACCATATACACAGAATCTCGTTAGGGTTTGTGATGTTAACATTTGCCCAATGACCATAATGAGTATTGCAAGGGATACCAAAGGTAACAGTTTATTATTAGAGGAAATTGGTTGTGGGTAATCCTTTCACGTTGATGGAAGGAAGCCACTAAACCAGGTGGTGACAATGGTAATGCGCAAGGCTCGGAATCGCGAAAAGATCACTAGAGATATTGATAAAATTATATATATGTAGACAATTAAGACTTTGTAATCAGTGTAATCTAGATCTTATTGAAGATGGATATCACTTCCTGTTAATATTCCACACATGTGATAATCTAAGAAGTATATACTTAAAAAGACTGCTTTTTGTGAATCCAAGTATCCACAAATTTGTCACTTTAATATCTTCAGTTAAACTTGATGTTATACGCAATTTGTCAATATATATGTATCATGCGATGTCAGTTAGAAATAAGTTTATGTTGTATAAAACCGCTTCCTAAATGCTGTATACTATTGGCCTAGTGCCTAACAGTTTTGTACGAATAAATTATTGATCTATCTAATTGAAAAGGTTAACAAGACCAATAAAGTTAAGACTTCGTCAGCAGGCGGTGAAGATGTCAACTGTTTGGTGTGACACCACGCCCTGCTACACCTGTACCGTGAGCTTACATCAGTGAACTGCTTTCAATGAGTCGAGGTCTAATTCTATGGTTGGTTAAGTTTAGATTTGATGATAATGTGTTTGGATGATGGCGCCCATGACTGAACGAGGCAGAGACGAGGATCAACTCGTATCTTCCTAATAGTTGTCGCTTATCCCCAGGCGTTTGCGTGTGCTAGAACGAATTCTGTAAGCTTTTATTACCATTTACAAATCTGTAATATCCAACAAAAAGAAACTGATGCTTACCTTTTGTGTTAAAATCAAGCATTGAAGGAGGGACTCGGTAGAAGCAGCTCTGGTAAGCCCACTCAGTGCATATCGTATACGTCGAAAGCCGGGCTCAGTTGGTAAACGTGACGTGCCTCTCAAACGTGCTAATGCGGGGTTATTATATCTGTGTAATTCGTATCCATCGCAAAGCATCACCTCGGTAAATTACAAACTTTCATGTCACAATCAACTCGCAATCCACAGTAAATCACAACGTACAGTGTTTTATGACGAGAGCACTATCATAGTAGTTGTTTATAAAAGCATACAGAACCAATGTGTGTGACAGTGACAATTAAAATTGTCTGAATCTCTGGGATTTTGTTAATACGGACAGTCAAAGTTTTCCAGTACAGATACTATGGACCGTCAATGTTTCCTAGTACAGATACTATGGACCGTCAATGTGTTCTTGTACAGATACTATGGACCGTCAATGTGTTCTACTACAGATACTATGGACCGTCAATGTGTTCTTGTACAGATACTATGGACCGTCAATGTGTTCTAGTACAGATACTATGGACTGTCAATGTGTTCTAGTACAGATACTATGGACCGTCAATGTGTTCTTGTACAGATAATATGGACCGTCAATGTTTTCCAGTACAGATACTATGGACCGTCAATGTTTTCCAGTACAGATAATATAGACCATCAATGTTTTCCAGTACATATACAATGGACCCACAATGTGTTCTTGTGCAGATAGTATGGACTGTCAATGTTTTCTTGTACAGATAATATAGACCGTCAATGTTTTCTTGTACAGATAATATAGACCATCAATGTTTTCTAGTACAGATGATATAGACCGTCAATGTTTTCTAGTACAGATAATATGGACCGTCAATGTGTTCTTGTACAGATAGTTTGGACCGTCAATGTTTTCCAGTACAGATGATATAGACCATCAATGTTTTCAAGTACAGTTATTATAGACCGTCAATATTTTCCAGTACAGATAATATAGACCGTCAGTGTTTTCCAGTACAGATAATATAGACCATCAATGTTTTCGAGTACAGATAATATGGACCGTCAATGTGTTCTTGTACAGATAGTTTGGACGTCAATGTTTTCCAGTTCAGATAATATAGACCGTCAATGTTTTCTAGTACAGATAATATAGACCGTCAATGTTTTCTAGTACAGATACTATGGACCGTCAATGTTTTCTAGTACAGATAATGTGGACCGTCAATGTGTTCTTGTACAGATAGTTTGGACCGTCAATGTTTTCTAGTACAGATAATGTGGACCGTCAATGTGTTCTAGTACAGATAATGTGGACCGTCAATGTGTTCTTGTACAGATAACTTGGACCGTCAATGTTTTCCAGTACGCATACTATGGACCGTCAATGTTTTCTAGTACAGATAATATGGACCGTCAATGTGTTCTTGTACAGATAGTTTGGACCGTCAATGTTTTCTAGTACAGATAATATAGACAATCAATGTTTTCCAGTACATATACTTTGGACCCACAATGTGTTCTTGTGCAGATAGTATGGACTGTCAATGTTTTCTAGTACAGATAATATGGACTGTCAATGTGTTCTTGTACAGATAGTTTGGACAGTCAATGTTTTCCAGTACAGTTAATTTCAGACCGTCAATGTTTTCCAGTACAGATAATATAGACCGTCAATGTTTTCTAGTACAGATAATATGGACCGTCAATGTGTTCTTGTACAGATAATATGGACTGTCAATGTGTTCTTGTACAGATAGTTTGGACCGTCAATGTTTTCTAGTACAGATAATATAGACAATCAATGTTTTCCAGTACATATACTTTGGACCCACAATGTGTTCTTGTGCAGATAGTATGGACTGTCAATGTTTTCTAGTACAGATAATATGGACTGTCAATGTGTTCTTGTACAGATAGTTTGGACCGTCAATGTTTTCCAGTACAGTTAATTTCAGACCGTCAATGCTTTCCAGTACAGATAATATAGACCGTCAATGTTTTCTAGTACAGATAATATGGACCGTCAATGTGTTCTTGTACAGATAGTTTGGACCATCAATGTTTTCCAGTACAGATAATATAGACCATCAATGTTTTCCAGTACAGATAATAAAGACCGTCAATGTTTTCCAGTACAGATAATATAGACCGTCAATGTTTTCCAGTACAGATAATATGGACCGTCAAAGTTTTCCAGTACAGATAATATGAACCGTCAATGTTTTCCAGTACAGATAATATAGACCGTCAATATTTCCAGTACAGATAATATAGACAGTCAATATTTCCAGTACAGATAGTGTGGACTGTCAATGTGTTCTAGTGCAGATAGTGTGGACCGTCAATGTTTTCTTGTACAGATAATATAGACGTCAATGTTTTCCAGTATAAATAATATAGACCGTCAATATTTCCAGTACAGATAGTATAGACCGTCAATGTGTTCATGTACAGATAGTATGGACTGTCAATGTTTTCTAGTACATATAATATAGACCGTCAATGGTTTCCAGTACAGATAATATGAACCGTCAATGTTTTCCAGTACAGATAATATAGACCGTCAATGTTTTCCAGTACAGATAATAAGGACCGTCAATGTGTTCTAGTGCAGATAGTGTGGACCGTCAATGTTTTCTTGTACAGATAATATAGACGTCAATGTTTTCCAGTATAAATAATATAGATCGTCAATATTTCCAGTACAGATAGTATAGACCGTCAATGTTTTCTAGTACAGATAGAATAGACCGTCAATATTTCCAGTATAGATAGTATAGACCGTCAATGTTTTCCAGTACAGTCTATATTATCTGTACTGGAAACCATTGACGGTCTATATAATCTGTACAAGAAATGTTGACCGTCTATATTTTCCGTACTGGAAAACATTGACTGTCCATATTATCTGTCAATGTTTTCCAGTACAGATATTATGGACCGTCAATGTGTTCTTGTACAGATAGTATGGACTGTCAATGTTTTCTAGTACATATAATATAGACCGTCAATGGTTTCCAGTACAGATAATATGAACCGTCAATGTTTTCCAGTTCAAATTAAGTTCATTGAAAGTGACAGAGGGGGCGTCATTTTGTACTATGATGACTTTAAGTTTCGGCGTAAGAACAGTCGTGGTGAAAGAAGATACCGGTCCTGTATTGTCAAGGAGTGCACTCAGTAAGGATCACAACTCAGGGTGAGTTGCTCCACGCCATTGAGATCATGGGTCACTCCCACGACCCACTACCGTTCCAGTTTGAGGTTGATGCCTTTAAGGCTAGACTGATGGAGAGAGCGAGGACAGAAACGACACCTATACCCACTATCTACGGAGAGGAGATATCCAGACTACACCAACATTACGACATCGTCTCAGTTGACCTCCTGAAGCAAATACCAGCCCTGAAGTCTCTCACCACTATCCTCTACCGCCAGAGACATAAGACCTTGCCCCGCCTTCCTGACAGCAGACCCCAGATCCAGCTGGAGGAGAAGTACTCCCAGACTGACGGAAGCGACCAGTTCCTGCACCGTGTTAGTGACGACATCCCCATCTTCACTACAGACAAGAACATTGAACATTTGTGTGCTGCAGACATTGTATATTTTGATGGTACATTTTATGCCTGTCCCAAGTTGTTTGATCAGATTTATTGTTTGTCATTGTTTTAGATGTGCTACACATCAATTCATTGCACAATCGTGACCTGTAATGTGACAATGTATTATGACCTGTCATGATATCCATCAATGTAATGTTTTGATGAATATATTATCCCTGTTACCACCCAACCACCCGTCGTCAAAGGAACAGACATGGACACATGCAAGTACTGTGGTGATAACGCAATTCCCTATTTTTAATTGTCCCATATATTCCAGTGTTTTTCCTAGTGAGCAGTTGACTTGCATGTGTTGGTGACGGGTGTCACGTGTGGGGCAGGGTACGCTCACCTTTTCGCGAACACCTGGTATCATCACTATTTGATAGTGATTCATAAACACATGCTCATGATACAGTCGGAATCGTACAGTCGACTCTGCTTTGAGCACAGATTTGTAATGAACGTGGGAATTTCTATTGCATTTATTTGCCATCCGTGTGAAATTTGTACCCCTTGGTTAACCACACGTGTACATGAAAATATTTAACCCAAGGTCAAACCGTTGCATATAAACCATGCTTAAGTTTAGGAGAGAGCTCCCTTTCCAGTGATAAAGAATGTGTATCTTTAAAAATCATCACAAGATAAAACTTCAGATATCAGTGGGTGGGGTTGCCCGGTGGTCTAAGCGTTCGCTCGTCACGCCGAAGACCCAGGTTCGATTCCCGACATGGGTACAATGCGTGAAGTCCATTTCTGGTGTCTCCGACCGTGATATTGCAGGAATATTGCTAAAACCACTCACTCAATCAGATATCAGTGAACTAGTACCGGATTCTGTGGTCCAGACTCGATGTTTTTATTTTTATTTCCTTTCAAAAGGCATTTGCGAATCAAATGACAAAATAGGCTATAATTGGATATGACAAACAGCCCCTAAATAAAGTGGGAATTCCGATGTTGATATCTATAGGTACATGTAACTGTTGGCAAGATGACAACTGATTGTTCTTCACTAAGGTGTGAATCGAAAGTGGTTCCAATATGAATACTGACCCCAATCCTTCTGTATATATGCAGTGTTATTACAACAACAGCCATACATATCTGTAAAATCCGGTTCAAGGTGAACATACCGTGCGATGAAGTATATTAATGAAGTGTGAAGACATATGGATAATATTCCCAATCATCTGGTCTTTTACGTCCGCATCAAGTAATTTCGGTCTATTTATCTATTTGTACGTAGTTTGTATTTCTGTGGCCTTTAAACTTCAATTCTTATTTGTTTTTATATCAGTGTGGTTGAAATTATCGTGAATATCGACATCAGTGAGTCTGAATGTAGTAGCCCCTGTGTAACTCTGTATGTTGTGATTCAAACGGACAAAGTACATAATATTTATTTGCCCTTTTGGGAGAACACGGCAAAGGTCACAAGGACCTCATGCTTTTCTGATGGATGTCATTATGACGATCGAGTGGTTACAATGGAGGTGGCTGATTGTGTGTTATTGTGCTCCGACGGCGTGATGTGCCATGTTGCCTATACTTTCGGACACTGGTTTGCCTGGTATCATCCACCCGCATCCGCCATGTAGCTGGACCATTTCTATCTGAGACAACATCACAAACTCAGTTAAGGGATGCTCTATGACTTCGAGGATAGGAGTAGTTCGAAGCCTGTCTTTAATCGAAGACGCTTACACCGGTTGGCAACGTGGTACTTTCCACCAAGAGGGAAGCTGCCTGGTTCCCTGGGTATGCTGCGATGGCGCTACAGTGTAGCAGTGTAGCGCCAGCGCAGCATACCCAGTAAACCAGGCTGAGTGGGAAGCCATATTGCTTGGCTAACAAAACTTTCCCTTAGGAAATTGTAGGTGTCAGATTCCTGCAGAAATATTGACCATGTGAAATAACACCCGCCTTCTCCTCCTAAACTCAAGTACACTAACATTCACTTTTTTCTTGTTTATTATGCTATCTCAGTCGATATCAGCAACAAAGGAAACTATTATACTGTGTGCTTGCATAAATTACCATACACAAAATATTGAGGAAGTATCTGCCCTAATAGGATAATATCATTGTTACCGTAAATCAGCCTGTCTTTAATCGAAGACGCTTACACCGGTTGGCAACGTGGTACTTTCCACCAAGAGGGAAGCTGCCTGGTTCCCTGGGTATGCTGCGATGGCGCTACAGTGTAGCAGTGTAGCGCCAGCGCAGCATACCCAGTAAACCAGGCTGAGTGGGAAGCCATATTGCTTGGCTAACAAAACTTTCCCTTAGGAAATTGTAGGTGTCAGATTCCTGCAGAAATATTGACCATGTGAAATAACACCCGCCTTCTCCTCCTAAACTCAAGTACACTAACATTCACTTTTTTCTTGTTTATTATGCTATCTCAGTCGATATCAGCAACAAAGGAAACTATTATACTGTGTGCTTGCATAAATTACCACACACAAAATATTGAGGAAGTATCTGACCCTAATAGGATAATATCATTGTTACCGTAAATCAGGGCGATACATACAAACTATTCAGTGGAATGTAATGTTCAGGTAGCTGTAAGTCATGTCTCATGTTTGTTGAATATATTGCACCGATTAGTACCCTCTTCACTCATATTATTTCTTGTTTTTACGCCGCTTTGAACATTATTCCGGCAAAATCACGGCGTGTCTGCTTAATGTGGGAGGAAAGCCCGATGTGATGCATGTCTCAGACGCCCGATTAATAGAGATTGGTATGAAATCATTGTCCAAGAAACACTGTAAATTATTGACTTTAAAATCATGTGTGACATTTACATTTAAATGTTGTTAGAAACTGCACTAGGTTTCTATTTCTAACCTAAACTAGAATGCTGAATGTGACTTCCTTGGGAGCTCTATGAAATGCCACCCTGACCAAATTATCGTTTAATCATAACTGACTTTGAAGCACGCTGGAGCTGAACATTTTTACACACACACACACGCACGCACGCACGCACGCACGCACGCACGCACACACAGAGATCATACACATTAAAGTGAATTTTGGCATAACAAAACGAATAATCACTCTTGACGAGGTCAATAAGCGAAAAAACAAGGACCCGAGGACCGACCCGTGAGGGGTTCTGTCCGTCAAGAGTCACTATTTGTATGATATATGATCTGTCCCTTAGATTTGACAACCATCAGTTTTGAAAACAATACATTCCGCTACGAAGCACGACCAGACTTCCAGTGTTCATGATTGTATCCCAGCACGCTGCAGTGTGGACACGTGAAGAGGTTCTTCCACTCAATGTGACTAGATTGGTTCTTCCTGTCCTCCCGTCTACACAACACCTCGCCACAATATACACGCCACAAGGACAACTTCCGGTGAATCGAATAATTCTTTTTGAAGTCCGTTTCTCCGAACACGTTGATCAAACGCTGTGCTTCCTCAGTAAGCAGCTTGTGGATTGTCCCGAAATCCTTCTCGCCCTCCCGCATCAGGACCAGATGTTCCAGCGCCGACAGAAGACTGATTTCGTTCATGTTTGACTGGAAGAGACTGACATAATCCAAGGTCTCCACGAGAGTCGCTTCCGCCTTCTTCCGGTCACCCTTGGCCATGTACGCATGCGCGAGTGAGATTCTAACGTCAACGTTGGAGGGGTGACGTGGCGTGCATCGGATGATGACTTCGAGGGCCTGGTGACACGACCTGACAGCGTCATCCACAAGGCCCCTGTAACATATATGACTACACTTCAGATGACAGTAACATGGATATATTCTAGATTGGAGAGATCCCGGGTCATACCAAAAGGCGTCAAAGGATATTATTTGTTATTACCCTGCCTGGCGCTCGGGATAAAACAAGGACTGGTCGGCTCGGAGACGGTATGCTGTGTCTGAGTGGGATATCAACGCTAACTGAGGAGTGATATCTAATTTAAGTGGGCCAGCACAATAAAACCGGCACTGGTACAATCAGCTACATTCAGACGTGTATGCATGTAGCCATATAAGTGAACTATTCTTGAACGCCAAGTTAAACCCCACTAACTTCACCTGGATTTTCCAATAGACACCTATCACAATATTGTCTTAAGGATGTCGTGCATTGGAGTCTTCTAACGACATAATGTGAATCAGTCTTTACCCTATATATATAGCCATGAAGACGGGAATCATAGACTTACAGTCCAAGATACGACGTCATATATCAAACAAAAACGGAATTAGTTCCTATTTGCGGCTCGTCGAAAATTGATTTCGGCCGGGGGAATAGTGCTAATACATCAACGTCCTGTAAACCATCACTGCATTGAAACGTCATACATATTTATGAGGGGCGGTCGGTAGCCTAGTGGTTAAAGCGTTCGCTCGTCACGCCGAAGACCCAGGTTCGATTCCCGGCATGGGTACAATGTGTGAAGCCCATTTCCGGTGTCCCCCGCCGTGATATTGCTGGAATATTGCTAAAAGCGTCGTAAAACCATACTCACTCACTCACTCACACACTTATTTATGACATCATCAATGGAATGTCACTTCACGTTTGAAATTGGGGAAATATGTAAAGTTTTCGTAAAAGAAAATAGCACATTTACATAATATATTGGTTATAGATAAACGTTCTATCCATATATAGTTGAAATATTTGAAGTATTGAATTTGAATATTGAAGTTTATCCGAAATTGAAAATCGTGAATGATTTCCCTTCTTGTTTCTATAGTAGACATATGGAAAAGGCTCATGCCACGTAGCAGCACACTAAACCATTTCGTGGTATTTGGTCAGATTTAAAAAATTAACTATCTTAGAAAAAAGTGAAATACTATTAATATAGACCGGCGGACATCCTTAATAATTTGTATTCACCAATAATTCTATTTCAGCATTTCAACGGCGTAATTAGATACATGTAATTCCAATGCGCAATTACTTAACACAATCTTGAGTATCTTACTTGAGACAGTACGCGGTGCCCCTGTACCACAGTGTGAGAGCCGTGTTGAAGTCATACCAACCCAACTTCCGCCTCAGGTTGAGAGCTTCCGTCAGCAGCCGGAGAGCCTTGTCTGAAATATCAACAGGTGTCACACATCCACTCACTGAATACGTCAACATACCGCACAAAGAATAGTAAAGCAATGGCACATTTCTAAACACAGAAAACGGCAACATAGGTCACACTTCTATTCACATAATACATCAACGTATGTCACACTGCTTACAAAATACGCCAGTAATACGTCACAGTTCTACTCACAGAATATGTCGACACATGTCACACTTCAGCTCGTAGAATATGCCAATAAATGTCACAATTCGAACACATTACGTAAAGGAATAGCACATATATCTTCTACTAACAGAATACGCCAACACATGTACTCACAGAATACGCCAACACATGTCACACATCTACTCACAGAATACGCCAACACATGTCACATATTTACTCACAGAATACGCCAACACATGTCACACATATACTCACAGAGTACGCAAACACATGTCACATATTTACTCACAGAATACGCCAACACATGTCACACATCTACTCACAGAGTACGCCAACACACATCACATATCTACTCACAGAATACGCCAACACATGTCACATATCTACTCACAGAATTCGCCAACACACTTCACATATCTACTCACAGAGTACGCCAACACACGTCACATATCTACTCACAGAATACGCCAACACATGTCACACATCTACTCACAGAATACGCCAACACATGTCACACATCTACTCACAGAATACGCAAACACATGTCACATATTTACTCACAGAATACGCCAACACATGTCACACATCTACTCACTGAATACGCAAACACATGTTACACATCTACTCACGGAATACGCTAACACATGTCACACATCTACTCACAGAATACGCAAACACATGTCACATATCTACTCACAGAATACGCCAAACACATGTCACACTTTTACTCACAGAATACGCCAACACATGTCACACATCTACTCACAGAAATACGAAAACACATGTCACATATTTACTCACAGAATACGCCAACACATGTCACACATCTACTCACAGAGTACGCCAACACACGTCACATATCTACTCACAGAATACGCTAACACATGTCACACATCTACTCACAGAATACGCAAACACACGTCACACATCTACTCACAGAATACGCCAAACACATGTCACACTTTTACTCACAGAATACGCCAACACATGTCACACATCTACTCACAGAGTACGCCAACACACGTCACATATCTACTCACAGAATACGCCAACACATGTCACACATCTACTCACAGAATACGCAAACACATGTCACATATCTACTCACAGAATACGCCAAACACATGTCACACTTTTACTCACAGAATACGCCAACACATGTCACACTTCTACTCACAGAATACGCAAACACATGTCACATATTTACTCACAGAATACGCCAACACATGTCACACATCTACTCACAGAATACGCAAACACATGTCACATATTTACTCACAGAATACGCCAAACACATGTCACACATGTACTCACAGAATACGCCAACACGTTACGATTTTAGTCAACAATGACATACAATAGATCTACATAATGTCTGCTCCAGGTGCATGAGGTTGTGACTCAGCTGATACGTTGCTCACGCATGATTCGAATCCCCCTGGAAGGAGGCTTGTCCTGCTCCCTCCCCTCCCCTCCCCTCCCCTCGACTCCCCTACTCACCAAACTCCCCCCGCCACGTGTAGTTGGCGGCGAGGTTGTTGAGGTTGGTGACGAGATAGGTCGGCAGTGTGGAGGCCAGCTTCCTCCGCTCATGGCAGGACAATTTGTAGTACACCAGCGCCTTGTCCAGCTGACACTCTGTCGACATAAACACCCGCGAATTCAAACATCGAGGTGAAGGATGGTGAACACACGTGGCTCCTCTTAAATCCTGGCTATAGCCGGAGCAATTAAAATAGAGTTACATTACATCCATGTTATGGCGAGTTGATCGAAATTAGCTTAAACGTTTTATCGTTAACGTTCGGTCAATATTAATTAAAACGTGTATGCCGCTTAACGTAAAGCGAGTATGACATACTTATAAAAACCTAAGTACCAGTTGTGTGGGCTAGTGATGCTTTGATGTAACCCGTGAGTATAGTTCAATTACATCTTTTCTCAAGAGCAGGGGGCACGCATGGCCCAGTCGTCTAAGGCGCCGCGATTCGCTGTGCAGAGTTGCGTCCCTTGGCCACGCCAGAAACCTATGATTGTGGGTTCGAATCCCGGTTCGCCCCGATTATGTTTCTAGGTTTGTCAGCACCATACCCGTGCTCGTGGGTTTCACCGAAGTGGTAAACGTCTGAGACCTGCATCACTTCGGGCTTTCCTCCCACATTTAAGCTGACACGCCGTGATATAAATAGAATACTGTTAAAAGCGGCGTTAAACCCAACTCACTCACTCACTCACGAAAAGCGGAGTTAGACCACATTAACTCACCCACTTTCTCCATGATCACATGACCGGAAGTCCAGTCAGATGATGAAGTGTTATACGAGACATTCATTGTTCTTAATCTCTTCCTTAATTGTTGCACATTCAAGTGGCATCTTCCGCTTCCGCTCATTGTTATAACCTGCTCAACACTATTGTCAAATATACCCAGCTTTTACCCGTGCTCGTGGGTTTCACCGAAGTGGTAAACGTCTGAGACCTGCATCACTTCGAGCTTTCCTCCCACATTAAGCTGGCTCGCCGCGATATAACTGGAATACTGTTAAAAGCGGCGTTAAACCCAACTCACTCACTCACTCTCAAGAGCAAGGAAATCCAGAACTATTTGTGACATTGATTCGTTTTAGGAATATAGGCTTGCTCATGTCTATATATACATACGCCTGTCGAAGTTGATGCCCATGGTCTGAATCATGACTGCAAGCACCGGGTGTCCCGGCATGATCTGGTGAGCCCGGGGGATAGTGCGCCGGAGTATCCTCTCAGTCTCAGGGAAGTTGCCTGTGTTATAGGACGGGCACCTCAGTAAAGTATGACCGGACCACAGGTGCATGTGCCAGTAATGGCAATGTTGATGTTATAATGCTCATGTTGCTAACAATAGTTGTAGAAGTAGAGATTATTAGCCCGTGTGTTTCCTTGTCGTTAATTGACCGCCTCCGTGGTCTTGGGGTACAGCGTCCGCCCGGAGAGAGGAAGGTAGGGGGTTCGATCCCCGGCCGCGTCATACCAAAAGACGTAAAAAGATGGTACTTGTTGTTACCTTTTCTGGCGCTCGGCATTTAGAGGCTAAAACAAGGAGTGATTGGTTCGAAGTCTGTATACTGTGTGGGGTATTCATGTTAAACTGCGGCATGGTATCTCAGTGGGGCAGCACTATAAAATCGGCAATAGTCCCGACGAGTACAAGCGCGCGCGCGCACACACACACACACACACACACACACACACACACACGTGAATGCACGTCGCTATAAAAGTGCAACAAACTTGAAAGACGTTAAGCCTCATTTCACCTCACCTCACCGTGTCGTAAATATCATATATTACGAATAATGTGTTATGCGACATGTATATTTTTATTATTTCTAACAAGATATTTACCATACGGAAACTATAATTTCTTCAAGTTATAATCTCTTCATCATACCATGCTATTCGTGTGTTTCAGACTATTTCACTCAAAGAAGAGGCTTTAGATTCCGTGTATGAATACAATGTGTGAGTGATCTGCCCAGTTCCTCACATAGTGCCAATGAACGCGCAGGCAGTGTGTCCACAGAGGCATGGTGACATATTGGGAAACCCCTACCCAAGCATATGGGGATCGTTAGTCAATGGCGTCTAGAGAAAGAAGTCACTGCATCTATGTATGGACCTTGAAAGTAGTTCCTGCTATGTGATCTCATTTGCATATTTATCGGATAATGAGGAGTGAATGAATGAAAATTGTTTTACGCCGCATCAGCATTTTTCCAGCTGTTCACGGCGATGGATAATGAGGAATGAGTGATTGTTGATCCAAACGGAGTCAACAATATTTAGTTATATCTCGGCGGCCTGTGGACAAAGTCGTGTCTGGACCAGACAAACCAGTGACTGCAATAACGAGCAATGATCCACGCAGTCCGGACACGGTGACATAGCTGACCACCCAATTCACTTTGGTGGGTTTTTTTCCACAATTGTTACCATGGTGATGTCGGGATGTTGTTGTATTGATGTTGAGATAGTGTGACATTGATGTTGAGAGAAAGTGGTTTTGATGTTGAGAGAGTGTTGTGTTGATGTTGAGAGGGCTAGGTGTTGATGGTGAGAGTGTGTGGCATTGATATTGAGAGAGCGTGATTTTCATGTTGAGAGAGCGTGGTGTTGATGTTAAGAGACCGTGGTTTTGATGTTGAGAGAGTGTGGTGTTGATGTTGAGAGACCGTGGTTTTGATGTTGAGAGAGAGTGGTTTTGATTTTGAGAGAAAGGGGTTTTGATGTTGAGAGGCTGTGGCATTGATATTGAGAGAAAGTGGTTTTGATGTTGAGAGAGCATGGTTTTGATGTTAAGCGAGCATGGTTTTGATGTGGAGAGAGCGTGGTGTTGATGTTGAAAGAGCGTGGTGTTGATGTTGAGAGAGCGTGGTTTTAATGTTGAAAGAGCGTGGTGTTGATGTTTCTAGTATGGTGTTGATGTTGCGAGAGTATGGTGTTGAGATTGAAAGAGTGGTGTTAAGGTTGAGCTGTCCGGTGTTGTTGTCCAGATGGTGTTGCGTTGATATTGATGTTGTTGTATTGATGTTCACATATGATTTGTTGTAGCATCAATTTAAGATGTCCTTGTGCTGATGTTGATGTGTTCAGATATATGTTGTTGTTTAAATATTCAGGAGTTTATGTTGAGATAGGAGATGTAGAAGTTGCGATGTAGATATGGTGTTAATGGTAAGATTGTGCGCTGTTTATGCGGAAATATGATATAGTATTTATTGAGATCACGTGGACCAATCAGATCTCATCATTTTGACATGGAGGTGTTACAATGACGCTAATATGTTGCCCTATTGGTACTGGAAGATGTTGTGTTGAGATATTGTAGAGTTGAAGTTAACATATTTTGGTGTGGGTGTTCAGTTGTTGAGCCGTTGGTTACGTCGAGATGTCGTGGTATGACGTACCTAAGTAGCTGTTGACGATTGCAAGATGAGACTGAATCTGAATCCGATGAGGTTCGACCCTCTCATTAAGTTCAGCGGGGACAGGCGTCTCCAGTGCCTCGGTCAGTCGCCTAAAGGTTACAAAAATATCAAATATACATGATGATACGAAAACTCTTACACTTCTCAACTACGTTGTGCAAATAGAGCAACACGGCTCTGTAGCTCACATGATTGATGACGAAATAAGTTCATGACACTTCAATAGTTCAAGACAAATTGGTGCAATGAATTCTAGGAAAAAGTAGAAATACATGACTTTTGTAACACCGTTACCGACAACGACGTTGACTGCAAATGATGATCCCATGAACAAATTTATATTCACAAATAGTCATTACCAGTATTGCAAAGTTTCAGCTTTCCGTGGCTTATAGTTCTTTAGAAAAACAGAAATTTATATTTTTTAACAAACGAACCAATAAAAAAGCACAGTTTTAACAAACTAAGGCACTTCATAAGGCACCTGGGAGCACGGGTGACCCAGTCGTCTAAGGCGCCGCGATTCGTTGTGTAGAGTTGCATCCCTTAGGCATGCCAGAAACCTATGATTGTGGGTCCGAATCCCGAATCTCCGATTATGTTTCTAGGTTTGTCAACACCATCCCCGTGCTCGTAGGTTTCACCGAAGTGGTAAACGTCTGAGACCTGCATCACTTCGGGCTTTCCTCCCACATTAAGCTGACACGCCGCGATATAACTGGAATACTGTTAAAAGCGGGTTAAACCCAACACACTCACTCACTCACTCATAAGGCACTGCATGCCAACATCCGTTTCATCAGTCAAGCGTTATCAGGTCAGTGTTAGGGTTACTGGGGGTTTCAGGGTCAATATCTTTTCAGTAGTCCGTCACAAGAAACAGACCCTTTATGACAGGCTGTAGGTTCCTTTACCTTGCCGAAGCGATGGGTGTTTTGGCTTTGACCGAACAAGGGGTCATTGACAAATGGGTAAAAGGGCGGCCCACCGTCCGTTCACGTATTTGTTCTGTTCTAACCTACTTCACTATTTTCAACGACATCACAAGGCGTAGGTTGGCGAAACTGTGCCATGACCAGCCCGCTGACAGCTTTTCGAAGCAACCATATGCCACAACATGTTTAACTTTGTGTTACACGACGTCCTTTGACGTACGCAGTAACTGATTTGTTTAGACACTAATCACAAACCTAAACACGTTTCGTGTTTAACCCCCGTGTAAATCCGGATAAGAATAGGGCTTCAGCAACGCATGCTATCCGAAAAAGGTGACTGTGCTTGTCGTAAGCAGAGACTCATTGGATCGGTTTGAGTATGGTCAGGTTTGAGTATGGTAATAATGGTATCTGTCGAAGCTGCAGAACTTACCTTTTGGCTACTTTATTATTCCCAAGCCGCACGTGCATCCATCCAAGTCTGCGCATGAGCACAACGCGATGATAACCGTCCTCTCCCACGGTCAATTTCTGTAATGCATTCGTCACCAAAGAAACTGCAGAAGGAAGTTGGTCACCTGTCGCGGAGAAACAAATGCATGACATTAAATGCCACCATGATTTCATGAGCAATGAACTTCAGTCAGAAAATGTGATACACTCTTCATTACATAATCCAAGGCAAACTCATACCAACGAATTTCGGAACACAGGATCCCAAAAACACTTACGCGAAAACAATCTGATTAAAATCAGATGGTTCACTCCGATACAAAACCTCTGTGGTTTAAGATTGAGGACCCCGTGCAGAACCGGCTTTGAATTTGTCTTTAGCAACCAATGCGTGTCGGAAGAGGCGACTAAAGGGATCGGATGGTCAGGCTCACTGAGTAGGTTGATGTATGTCATCGTATCCAATTGCGTATATTGGTGCTCAATCACTGTTTTTATCGATTATTTACAGACGTTAATCAGCTGGAATATTGCAGAGTGTGGCGTTAAAGAACAAACAAACAAATACGACCTGAGGAATAAACAAACCCTGACAGCCCAATCTAAATTAAGGATGAATGTGTTCTTACGACCAACAAACTATTATTGCACTTATATAGCGATAATATTACACGTGAGTGTGACTGCTTGTACTGGGCTGACAAGTGCTTGTTTCACCCCACCCCACCCCCACCCCCACCCCCTTAGTGCTTAGTGTTAGGCAGGGTTACAACGAGCAACATATTTTGGTATGACGCTGCCAGGGATCAAACCACGGACCTTCCACTCGCCCTTTCCACTAGACCACGGAGGCGGTCAGGGAATTCCAATTCTCCTCAAAACACTTCTTTTGTCTGGACATTCAGCTTGCCAGGTCCAGCGACCAATCATTCTGTTTGTTTTGAACACACATGTAAAATTTCCATTATTTCTGGAACAACGTTTTCGAAACAGATCCCAGGGTGGGTGGGTCTGGATTTATGCAACATTAAATATTTCAGCCATAGGGGATACCGGAAATGGGCGCCACATTGAACCCACGTTCGGAATCGAACCCGTACCTTTAGCGTAACTAGTGAAAGCCTTATCTTCCCCATAGCCCTGTCACTCTGCAGTTTGACGGCTCACCTCTTTGTTCGATGAGTGACACGGCCGTGAAGCCCTGTAAAACAGCTTGCTCTCTCGGAGTGCCGAATTTATAGGCTGCCTCGGCCATCTGACTATAGAAGTTGACTGCCTTCTCAGGACACACTGCGGACATCGTACACTCCTCAAGGTCAATTACCTGTAGGAAAAGGTCAAGGTCATGTTAGTGGGCTAGTCAGTGTAATGTGAAAAGAATAATATACTTTAGACCTTTGGCTTGATGAGCTTATTTTAACACCGCTTTTAGAATTTTCATTATGCACGGTGCGGGGCACCACGTATGGGCGTAACATATTGTACCTACAGAAGGAATCGAACCCGGACTATCGGGCTACACCACCACCATATCAGTGAAGCCCAAGAGCATGTATATATTTCTGACATACATCCATTCATGGATCCCATCTGATCACCAGAGTAAGTGCATGTTGTTTTAGGCCCGTGAAGATCCGAGGTAGAATAGGTCTTTAGCAACCCATGCTTGCCGTAAAAGGCGACTATGCTTGTCGTAAAAGGCGACTAACGGGATCGGGTGGTCAGGCTCGGTGACTTGGTTGATGCATGTCATCGATCCCAATTGTGTGGATCGATGCTCATGATATCAATCACTGTAATGTCTGGTCCAGACTCGATTATTTTACAGACCGCCGTCATATAGCTGGAATATTGCTGAGTGCGACGTTAAACAAAAACAAAACAAAAAAAGCATGTTGTTTTACACCACTGTCAATATTCCATCTACATGTATGTGACGGTGATCTGGGCCAGACAATAAATGGTGGGGTACGATGAAACACAATAAGCCAGGTCACACACCGTAACAGCCTCTCCCCATCAGCCGGCTCTTATAACAAACATATGATAATAAAGGACCTATATTCTGAACCGGATTCCATCAAGAACTCCCCAATTATTAAATAAGACTGTTGATAAAGACACCAACCTTCAAATAAACTTTGAACGTGTCCTCCCCATGGGTATTCACAGCCTGAGTCAGAGTCATTTCAAAAGACCGAAAGTTGTCATGAGCAAACCCGAGTGCTCTCCCCTTTGTTTTCACAGAAGCATCACAACGCATCAGCAACAACATCTGCCCAAGGAAATCCACTATCAACTTCCGGTGTGAATCGTGATGAGGCACATCTGCAGTTTTAGTTGATACAAAGGCCTGGATGAAAGGATCGACCCTCATTTGCCGCAGGTTTGGATCAAAGTCGAGTATGGTGTGTCCCCGCAAGGGTAAAGCTGTCTGTAGTTTGAAGTTAGTGACGTCGCCCTTTCCAAGACGTTTGGTGGCTTCTTTGACGCCAAAATGTCCTTGAAGACCACACAGAGTGATTGTGTCAGCTTTAAGCTCTGGAGCCAGACGACCAAACTGTTCTTCAAGAGCATTAGCAATGCACCCACCAGGGGTGGGGTACTTGCTGAACACATCCAGAGCCTTCCTGGGGTCTTGAAGAGCCCTAGCAACATCGTCTGGTGTAAGGACTGAGGGGTAGAGTTGTAAAATGGTGCAAATTCTGAGGATTAGTCCTGGGCGATGGCAGCACCGTCTGACGATATTGTACAGTGGGGCAAGAGTCCTGCATCGACAGCGCACTGGGTCTAACAAGGCCACACATTCTCGCTCACTCATTGGCAATAGTTTGTGTGAGATAGCTTCATGGCGGTTGGAAAGGCTGACGCTGACCCGTGACGTCACAATCACGCTTACACCTGCGTGCGCATCCAGAACATCATTTACAAAGAGACTGAACATCCGAATGATAACTTCGTTGGCGTACACGTTTTCGAAGTTCGTGAACAGAAGAATGAGACCTACGCCGGCAAAATTTCTGATTAGGTCACCAATTTTTAATTTAACCTTGAACTCGGATGGACCCAGAAGTGTGGTGTTCAGTTCAAGAACATCAGCCAATCGCTTGAGGAAATCCGACCACGTGGTCACTCCAAGACATCGGACTGTCACGTGATTCAGAGCATCGCCACACGTGTTGAGTTGAGTCTCTTTTAAGCATTCGATGACCTTTACAGACGAAATCAAATAGATTATATAAATACTTTGTGGGCCATCCATGTACCAGATACATCTTACTGAACCATGTACACATATTAAACCACACCTAAGGCTTGTCTATATACTTCTTTGTTTTTAAGCCCATAGTCAGCAATATTCTAGCTATATAACGACGTCTTTAAAGAATCGAATCAAACCACACAAAAAGTGGCTGACAGAATGAACGCCATCGCAGAATAAGGACACACGTTCCGCTGAGACCTATAGAGGATCTCATGTGCTAGGCACCTATTATAAATGGGTTCCATAGTGGCGCTGGTCTCTGTCACTAAAGTAATATTAAAGAAGGAAATTCTTTTTCTCTTATAAACGCCGGTTTTAAAATTGGCTAATAATTCGATATACATTTGTAGGTTTTATAGATGACCTGGTAAGCTAAATGTAAAGTTGAGACAAAATTATCCAAAAGTCCTCTCTCCTTGTCAAAAGGGATACGCGTTTGATCTGGATCTCCCTGTATAACTTGTTCAATTAAACATTGGTGTTATAGACATTTTGATAAGGAGTAGAGGGAAAACAATTTTAAATTTTGAGTCAAGTTTACAATGTGGTAATATAAACAGTTATAACACAACTGCAGAACCAGGCAGAAGCTGGGTATATTTGACAATAGTGTTGAGCAGGTTATAACAATGAGCGGAAGATGCCACTTGAATGTGCAACAAGTAAGGAAGAGATTAAGAACAATGAATGTCTCGTATAACACTTCATCATCTGACATGGACTTCCGGTCATGTGATCATGGAGAAAGTGGGTGAGTGAATTTGGTCTAACTTTAGTGAGTAAGTGAGTGAGTTGGGTTTAACGCCGATTTTAACAGTATCTATTTATATCGCGGCGTGTCAGCTTAAATGTGAGAGGAAAGCCCGAAATGATGCAGGTCTCAGACGTTTACCACTTCGGTGAAACCCACGAGCACGGGTATGGTGCTGACAAACCTAGAAACATAATCGGGGCGAACCGGGATTCGAACCCACAATCATAGGCTTCTGGCGTGCCCAAGGGACGCAACTCTACACAGCGAATCTAGGCGACTGGGCCGACCGTGCCCCCCTCCGCTTTTAGCAGTGTTACAGTTAATCACACCACGGCGCGTCACATGGATGTGGGAGGAAAGCCCGAAGTGATGCAGGGCGTAGGCGTTTACAACTTTGGGGAAACCCACGAGCACGGGTGTGTCCAGGAGAAAGTACTCGGCTGTCTCTATAAGGTTGTCGTAACTATTGTCTATTGAGGTGTGTACCGAGTGAGTGAGTGAGTATGGTTTAAGCCACTTTTAGTAATATTCCAACAATGTCACGGCGGGAGACACCAGAAATGGGCTGCTTGCATTGTACCTATATGGGGAATCGAACTCGGGTCTTCGACGTGACGAGCGAACGCTTTAACCACTAGGCTACCCACACGCCCCTGTACCGTTATGACACCTGGGTGAATTAGAATCAGTCATCACGGTTATACAGAGCGAACTTAGCGCTAAGGTGATTGTAACCCCCATACCTTAACATAGACTTACGACAGTCGTAGCGCTGAGGTTGTTTTGTACAACGGCACCCTGGGCCCCGTTCCACAGAGCGATCGTAGCGCTACGACTGTCGTAAGTCTATGCTAAAGTATGGGAGTTCGAGCACCTAAGCGCTATGGACGCTTTGTGAAACAGGTGCCCTGGTGTTGCATTAGTTATTATCCATGTACTCCAGTGATGGTGATGGTAAAATTTGAAATTTCGAGATGCCCCCTGTCCTCGCCAAACTTTGATCATTTGATCGATATTACTTATATTTCTGAGGATCTTCTGATTGGTAAGTGCAGTCCATATCATGTCAGGAGTTTGATATATCGGTCAGAACAGTGGAGCTATAGTTCCGTTATATCGGTCATAACTGTGGAGCTGTAGTTCCGTTATATCGGTCAGAACTGTGGAGCTGTAGTTCCGTTATATCGGTCAGAACTGCGGAGCCATATTTCCGTTATATCGGTTAGAACTGCGGAGCTATAGTTCCGTTATATCAGTCAGAACTGTGGAGCTATATATCAGTTATATCGGTCAGAACTGTAGCTATATATCAGTTATATCGGTCAGAACTGCGGATCTATATATAAATTATATCGGTCAGAACTTCGAAGCTATATTTCCGTTATATCGGTCAGAACTGCGGAGCTATTTGTCGGTTATATAACAGTGTTTCAGTTTAATGGTAGAGAAACGTGGCACAGGCCATGGGCGTTTACCACTGACAACATCCATGAGAACATGTTGGTGACAGACCAATAATCATAATCGTGACGAATCATGGAACGGAACCCGTGATAATCGGATCCTGATCCGACTAAGGGACGCAACTCTGCCTATCAGCTTACGGTTTGCAGAAAGTACTGCTCCATAACCTCAAAAGGGCCAGTTGTCTCACCTGTTTGGCAAAATGGGTTTTACCAGCAAATATTTCCCCATACAAAACCACAAGACGATGTCTGCGGTGGTATAGATCGTTCAGAATTGTCTCCCTCTGTTGTCCTCTCTCACCGCCAGGTGGTCGGAAGCGACAAACGTGAGTCTGTGACATGTCGTGTAGCTGCTCATAAGCTACTGCCATCTCGTCAAACACTGAAACATAACACAAAATGCCTGTCATCAGAAACAATGTACTTGAGACTCACGCTTTATTGTATTGTACTGGGTGCCGTTTTACAAAGCGATCTTAGTGCTAATGTGATCGTAACTCCCATACCTTAACATAGAATTACGACAGTCGTAGCGCTAAGTTGTTGCGTACAACCGCACCCGGAAGGTGATCTTATGTATGCAGTTTAGCAATCAAAGCAATATCACGGCGAGAAATGGGTATTGTTATAAGGTAAAAGTGCAATAAGAAAAACTAAAAAAAATACAATTCATACAAAATGGCAGTCCAAAATGGCGAATATCTTGTCGATAGCTTCGCGAAATTAAGGGATGAGGCTAGGGAATCGATCAACGATGGCACCAGTTACTGAGCGGTAATGGATCAGCCGATCAGGACGAAAACAACGTGGATTGATATTTTCTTAACAAACTAAAACGGTATCTCAGCAAGAGAGACAGGCTTGAACACCTTAAAAAGATATATTCATGTTTAAACGAGTAGTGGACTTTGCGGTCTTCAGCTCGGTCGCCTCCAGATGTCCATTCTCTGCAGTGAGTGAAAATAACTAGCCACGTGTTGGTCGTAGCGAGGATATTCCTGAACGATCATGCAGTCTCTGATACTTAATGTATGCTAAAACCCTGAGTTCAAGATTAAAGGGTCAAAATGATCAGGCAGAACGCTTCTGTATGTATTCGTGCTGGGGAATTCCCAGGGGATCCCCCATGAATATGAAGTTGCCCGTCAGTGTCTACGTCATTTCACGAACACGGTCTCCTAAAAACACGTATAACGTCAAACTGAGTTCTTCATACACTTATGAACGTAAATTTCGCGGTCATGTGACCGACCTCTGGTCTCACGGCAAAGCCGTATATTTTGGAAAATTCACAATAAAAAATATGTCTTGTTTAACCCCGAACTCAGCAATATTCCAGCTATTTGAAGGCGGTCAGCAAATAATCTGACAATCCAGTGATTGATATCATGAGCATCTACGCAATTGGGATAAGATGACGTGCATCAACCAAGTAAGCGAGCCTTACCATTCGATCCCATTAGTCGAATCTTCCAAGACCTATTCTAACCCGGATCTTCACAGGGGGCCGCCTATGTTAGGAAATAACCACATGTGGCTGCACAGCATTAAACAGAAAGTTACATCAAACCTCGCCTCTTCTGCAGCCTGCAGCAGCCGCAGCCATGACGTCAACAAGTAACCATGACTGCTGATCTGGACATCCTGCGCCGATGACCCACACATTGTTTAACAGCAGTTCTATGACCTATGTCACACACTGTGTGCACCCTCTCGGCGCCGACAGGGCAGCATGGAACAGTGACGTGCATTTAGATAACAGTACTCTGTCATCGGGTAAACTGGGCTCATTTTTCTTATTCCAAGGAAATGTTTCTGAATATAATTTATGTATTTGCAACCATCTGCTGCACGTGTGCATAAACGAGTGTATCCGATGCTCGGTTTGTGTGAAAGACAAATTATTGATTGTACACGAAGCTCTGTAGCATGAATACTTTTGATATTTCTCGAAAGCATTTCTACATATCACACGTTTCTGGTGTCCCCCGCCGTGATATTGCTGGAATATTGCTAAAGCGGCGTAAAACCAAACTCACTCACACGTAATGCAGTACTGTAAATTTTAAAACATGTTACAAAAGTTTATAGCATATGGCGATCTGCTTGACCCGTGAATAGTGGGCTTCCTGAACACCTGACCGTGATATCCTTCTAACGCAGCTAAGACGCAATATAATGCGTTATCAGGGATATCCTCAAGTGTTCTAGAACATGGAAACGAATACCGAAACTGATGTTTTTAAATAGCGGTCTTTCCTTTCCAGACTCTTGATGTCAACTTGAACATTCACGATAGACACGCAAGCTCTGATATGATAAAGTCAACACCAAATACGATTTTTACTCTTTACATTCAACCAATAAAGAAACTATGCATTTGGTGTTTTAGTCAAACGGAGTGGTAGATTTGACAGGGGGAGTGAGTGAGCGAGTGAGTTTGGTTTTACGCTGCTTTTAGCAATATTCCAGCAATATCACGACGGGGGACACCAGAAATGGGCTTCACACATTGTACCCATGTCGGGAATCGAACCCGGGTCTTCGGCGAACGAGCGAACGCTTTAACCACTAGGCTACCCTACCGCCCCTTGACAGAGGGAGGTGTCAAGTATATAGCATCATGTCATAAAGGGAACATTTTGATTTAGACCACGTGGACAAGCATTGTTTAGTTTTGTTAAACCCATCATGTTCCCTAGGTCACTGTATTTGTTTTTGCTTGTTTGTTGTTTAACGGGACTCACGACAGTGAATCTGTATGACGTCTGCCTGAATTTTGAGCAACAATTCACAATTTCAGAGGGGTTTCTGTATAATGCACGGATTTCTGTCGCTGATGATTGTGTGACGCGTGACTTTGGTTGTCAAGGCGACATAGGAAGGTGCCGCTGTACACGAATGCAATGAACAGTTGGCGATTACGATGGGATCAATGTCTATGTGTTGAGTGACTGTCTTTCATTTACTCGAATTATTGCACATCCCTTGCAAGTATGTAGCTTCCTCAGTCAACACTATTAGAACACTTGTCCCGTGAGTGATTGAATTTTATTTGCATTTCGTTCGTGAAAGTTGTCATCCTGTTTTCGCAAAGGGGAATGTATAGACGGCAATTACGAGCATATAAGTCTCGATTAACAGTGGGCTGTAAATCTAACGTTGACATGACCTCCACGAAGCCGGCATATTTTAGCTGAGGACAATGTGGTCACATGAGTTACTCAGACTCATATAACGGCACCTGTGACCCCGGCGTTCCCGGCGTCCTCCCGCTCTGCCGACAAACTACCACACCTCACCACACCACGACCCTTGTTATACCACCAGACCACAACCCTGTCACATCACCAGACCACAATCCGGTCACATCACCACCCACAACCCGGTCACATCACCACTCCACAACCCGGTCACATCACCAGACCACAACCCTATCACATCACCAGACCACAACCCGGTCACATCACCACACCACAATCCGGTCACATCACCACACCACAACCCGGTCACATCACAAGACCACAACCCTATCAGATCACCACACCACAATCCGGTCACATCACCACACCACAATCCGGTCACATCACCACACCACAACCCGGTCACATCACCACACCCAACACTTGTCACATCATCAGACCACAACCCTGTCACATCACCAGACAACAACCCTGTCACATCACCAGACCACAACCCTGTCACATCACCACACCCAACACTTGTCACATCACCAGACCACAACCCGGTCACATCACCAGACCACAACCCCGTCACATCACCAGACCACAACCCTGTCACATCACCACTCCACAACCCTGTCACATCACCAGACCACAGCCCTGTCACATCACCAGACAACAACCCTGTCACATCACCAGACCACAACCCTGTCACATCACCAGACCACAACACTTGTCATATCACCAGACCATAGCCCTGTCACATCACCAGACCACAGCCCTGTCACATCACCAGACAACAACCCGGTCACATCACCAGACCACAACCCTGTCACATCACCAGACCACAACACTTGTCACATCACCACACAACAACTCTTGTCACATCACCAGACCACAACCCTGTCACATCACCAGACCACAACACTTGTCACATCACCAGACCACAGCCCTGTCACATCACCATACGACAACCCGGTCACATCACCAGACCACAGCCCTGTCCCATCACCACACCACAACACTTGTCACATCACCAGACCACAACCCTGTCACATCACCAGACCACAACACTTGTCACATCACCAGACCATAGCCCTGTCACATCACCATACGACAACCCGGTCACATCACCAGACCACAACCCTGTCCCATCACCACACAACAACTCTTGTCACATCACCAGACCACAACCCTGTCACATCACCAGACCACAGCCCTGTCACATCACCAGACGATAACCCTGTCACATCACCATACGACAACCCGGTCACATCACCAGACCACAGCCCTGTCCCATCACCACACAACAACTCTTGTCACATCACCAGACCACAACCCTGTCACATCACCAGACCACAGCCCTGTCACATCACCATACGACAACCCGGTCACATCACCAGACCACAGCCCTGTCCCATCACCACACCACAACACTTGTCATATCACCAGACCACAGCCCTGTCACATCACCAGACAACAACCCGGTCACATCACCACACCACAACACTTGTCACATCACCAGACCACAACCCTGTCACATCACAAGACCACAACCCTGTCACATCACCACACAACAACTCTTGTCACATCACCAGACCACAGCCCTGTCACATCACCAGACAACAACCTGGTCACATCACCACACAACAACTCTTGTCACATCACCAGACCACAACCCTGTCACATCACCAGACCACAACTCTTGTCACATCACCAGACCACAACCCTGTCACATCACCAGACCACAACACTTGTCACATCACCAGACCATAGCCCTGTCACATCACCAGACCACAGCCCTGTCACATCACCAGACCACAACACTTGTCACATCACCAGACCATACCCCTGTCACATCACAAGACCACAGCCCTGTCACATCACCAGACCACAACACTTGTCACATCACCAGACCACAGCCCTGTCACATCACCCGACGACAACCCGGTCACATCACCAGACCACAACCCTGTCACATCCCCAGACCACAACACTTGTCACATCACCAGACCATACCCCTGTCACATCACCAGACCACAGCCCTGTCACATCACCAGACGATAACCCTGTCACATCACCACACCACAACCCGGTCACATCACCAGACCATAACACTTGTCATACCACCAGACCACAACCAACTCACATCACCAGACCACAACCCTGTCACATCAAAAGACCACAACCCGGTCCCATTACCAGACCACAGTACTTGTCACATCACCACACCACAACCCTGTCACATTACCAGACCACAACCCTGTCACATCACCAGACCACAACCCTGTAACATCACCAGACCACAACCCTGTCACATCACCAGACCACAACCCTGTCACATCACCAGACCACAACCCTGTCACATCACCACACCACAACACTTGTCACATCACCACAACACAACCCGGTAACATCACCACACCACAACCCAGTCACATCACCACACCACAACCCGGTCACATCACCTCACCGCAACACTTGTCACATCACCACACCACAACCCGGTCACATCACCAGACCACAGCCCTGTCACATCACCACATCACAACCCTGTCACATCACCAGACCACAACACTTGTCACATCACCACACCACAACCCTGTCACATCACCAGACCACAACCCGGTCACATCACCACACCACAACCCTATCACATCAACACACCACGACCCAGTCACATCACCACACCACAACCCTGTCACATCACATCAAGGGTTGTAGCACCTTCAACGTGATCTCTCAGAAATGACGTCACACAAATGCCATTTGCCCCCGTCTGGTAGGTAGGATGCGAAGACAAGTCAATGCCATTCTATTCAGTTATACACATGTTTTACGATTCAGTTTTTTGTATAGGAGAGATTAAAACATATCACTCTCAAAAGTGGACCAGTATATAAAATGAATATCGTATGTATTTCCCCGAAACAAACAGTTTTCTCAAACTTGGTCTTGAAAGGAACGGAACAGAACAGAAATCATACGCAGTGGAAGGATTCAAATTATTTGATTTAAAATAAAGAAATGGCTCCAATACCTACCATTACATTTGGGAAATGTTGTTATATATTCTATAAACATCACCTTCTTAATACATGTGGTTTGTCGTAGACATAATCATACATATTTGTCGAAGACAAATGTTTTCTTTTGTAGTGAGGGAGTAGGGAGGTTGGAGTAGTAGTAGTAGTAGTAGTAGTAGTAGTAGTAGTAGTAGTAGTAGTAGTAGTAGTAGTAGTAGCAGCAGCAGCAGCAGCAGCAGTAATAGGATATTATGTGGAGTATCGTTCCATTGAAGGTATATTGTTTCTGTCCCAACTCTTATCATTAATTATTATTAACTGCGACTGATGAACAGTGAGTGATCGGGTTATGGGCAACTGAACAAAGTACGAGGGCCGGTTAAGGTACAGTGAAGATGTCATACACAGAAAAGAATGGTACTACCTACCTCCAGTAATGCAGGGAGGTGCAGCGACCAGCGTCCTCTCTCCTCCAGTAATACAGGGAGGTTCAGGGAACAGCGTTACTCACTCCTCCACAAGCAGGGCGTTGAAGGTAACAGCTTCTTACACTGATTGTACCACTCGGTTTCAAGTGTTGTGTGTTGTGTTCCGCTTTGGTCACCGCGTGGGGTGCTACAATCTGTATCCATGGGCAACAAAGGAATTCGTGTGTCGATGTATTGGTATTCATCACATGACATGAGCGGGAAAGCCTATTATTGATTTAGGGGTGACACAGGGAAAACCTGAATACTGAAATACGACCAGCACATAAGTGCGAACGGAGGCAGTTCGCCGCTGACTCACGATCTGGTGGTGTTGGATATTGTACTGAATTTTAAACGCATTCAGGCCTACATGGAGCTGACGACACCAGTGCTGCTGAGTACCATCCTCGGTTATCCAGTGTAATATATCTCAATTCTACGATGATAAATGCTCAGGACACATTCGCTCTCACAGTTTAGGTTTGAGCCGGATTCGGACGACACTCGAAATAGCTGTCCACTAAATCACACCCGTGAGAGAGAGAATTTTGTGTTTTGTTTGTGATGCGAAAAATTTACAAGATGGCGTCACTTCCGTTTGTTTGTTTGTTGTTTAACGCCGCACTCAGCAATATTCCAGCTATATGACGGCGGTCTGTAAATAATCGAGTCCAATACAGTGATTGATATCATGAGCATCGATCAACGCAATTGGGATACGGTGACATCCATCAACCAAGTCAGCGAGTCTGACCACCCGATCCCGTTAGTCGCCTCTTACGACAAGCATAATCGCCTTTTACGGCAAGCATGGGTTGCTGAAGATCTTTTCTTACTTGGATCTTTACGGGTCCGAAACATCGCTGTGGTGACATGATGGTCCAGGGTATTTATCATGATGTGGTGGAGATTAAATACCTTGGCATCTAAAGTGAGTGAGTGAGTGAGTATGGTTTTACGCCGCTTTTAGCAATATTCCTGCAATATCACGGCGGAGGACACCAGAAATGGGCTTCACATATTGTACCCATGTCGGGAATAGAACCCGGGTCTTCGGCGTGACGAGCGAACGCTTTAACCACTAGGCTACCCAACCGCCCCTGTCATCTAAAGAGAATGAGTGGTGATTTATAGTTATATAAACATCAAAAAAGTCATCACACGTGACATCAGAGCGTAGTAATACAAATCGAATAAAAGGTGATCCGGTTATTGGTGATTCCTTAAAAATATTGCACAGTATTTTTAAAAAAACATGACAGTTACGTTGCAACAGTTAAAACCACAACCACAGATACACCGCCATCACCTGACCAAGCCAGTGCTGTAATGTCCAACTATGTTTTCCGGGCGGTACCATATGTTTCACAGTAGCCTATCGGACCCATGAAGATCCGGGGTAGAATAGCAACCCATGCTTGCCGTAAAAGGCGACTATATGCTTGTCGCAAGATCGGGTAGTCAGGCTCGCTGACTTGGTTGATGCATGTCATCGTATCCCAATTGCGTTGATCGATGCTCATGATGTCAATCACTGGATTGTCTGGTCCAGACTCGATTATTTACAGACCGCCGTCATATGGCTAGAATATTGCTTAGTGCGGCGTTAAGCAATAAACAAACAAACATTATTCATTCTGAAAGGCTTATGACTGAAGGCATATTTGCACACCCGTCGAGATCCAGGGTTGAACGAGTGCGGCGTTAAACAACAAACAAACAAATCATAACAGAGGAACGGCGGGGTGGCATAGTGATAAAAGCGTTTGGTTGTGCAGAAAACCCGGGTTCGTTTACACACATGGGTACTATGTGTGAAGTTTCCGCCCGGTGATATTGCTGTGACGTTGCTGAAAGCCGCGTTAAAACAAGCTCACCCAAAGTCGTAGATATTTGTGACCTGTATCAAGTTGGTAACACCAAGTTCCAAGTCGGCGTATAAGACGTTTCGCGTTATTCATGCTGAACATAAAAAATGTCCCTACATTCGCATTGCTTCAGTGTAATGATTTGGACAACATTCTGTATTAAGTATGGTGGGACACAATAATGATGAACAACGGCTGGACAGAGCTGTGCACATGCCACACATGCATGTGGCTGTTTGAGGCACGCACACTTTCAGCGTTTTATGCTTCGGGAATACATAATCCATTCGACCTGTGAAAATCCAGGTTAGAATTGGTCTTCATCATCCCATATGCTTGTCATAATAGGAGCCAATGGGATAGGGTCATCTTCCCGAGGCAAGGGCGTTAACTGACTATAAAAGTGGACTTTTATAGTCAGCTTACGCCCTTGCCTCGGGAAGATGGGATCGTGTGGTCACACTTGCTGACTTGATTGATGAATATCATCGTATCCCAAGTGCGTAGATCGATGCTCATGATATCAATCACTGGATTGCCTGGTTCAGACTCGAATATTTACAGACAGTCGTCATGTTTCCAGAATATATCTGAGTGCGCTGTTAAAAATAAACAAACAAACATAATTCATTCTGCTCAAGTCTTGTAGGTTCGCAAGTTGTATGCTTGAAGGCATAAATGCAGGCAGAGTATTGGTTTACGCCGTTTCTAGCAATTTCCCACCCATATCACGGCGGGGAACACCATAAAGGGATTCATATACTGTCGACGTGACGTGACTAACAGTCTTCCCCCATAAATGCAGAAGCACGTTTCAAATTCACCTTATCTGTGGAATAAATCACTTAAAACGTAAGGAAAAGATGATTCTCCAACACACTTGGTCATTGCAGGTCATTGTCGCGGTCCTCACACTTCCTAGTTCCTCTAACTAGACAGGCAAATGTAACTAAAGCACTACAAACTGAGCCCACTTAAGTCTCAGCTTTATCATTTCCACGCTTAAACATTTCTTTATTTCCTTAAAAATAACAGGAAATATCTGTGTTTCAAGTACCATGGACGCAACCAATACGGGTCCGTTGGTAGTTTGGTTTATTTAATACATTTAAAATCGTTTTCAGTAACAGATATCGATTGTAATGGTTCTTGGCAACGGTGAAATGCGGAAACATCCGACTGTAAAACGTGGGTTTCTTAGAGCCTGTTCCAGCCGTTGATCAATTGACATTTATCCTAATTTTAGTGGAGAGAGAGTAGCAATGATTACATTCAACTGCCTATCCGACTTGTTCAATCCACTACCTAAGTCAAGGTACTACACGACTTGTACTCGGGGATCAGTGAAACATTCCACTACCTAAGTCAAGGGACTACACGATTTGTACTCGGGGACCAGTGAAACATTCCACTACCTAAGTCAAGGTACTACACGACTTGTACTCGGGGACCAGTGAAAACATTCCACTACCTAAGACAAGGTACTACACGACTTGTACTCGGGGACCAGTGAAAACATTCCACTACCTAAGTCAAGGTACTACACGACTTGTTCTCGGGGACCAGTGAAAACATTCCACAACCTAAGTCAAGGTACTACACGACTTGTACTCGGGGACCAGTGAAACATTCCACTACCTAAATGAAGGTACTACACGACTTGTACTCGGGGACCAGTGAAAACATTCCACTACCTAAATCAAGGTACTACACGACTTGTACTCGGGGACCAGTGAAACATTCTACTACCTAAGTCAAGGTACTACACGACTTGTACTCGGGGACCAGTGAAACATTCCACTACCTAAATGAAGGTACTACACGATTTGTACTCGGGGACCAGTGAAAACAGTCCACTACCTAAGTCAAGGTACTACACGACTTGTACTCGGGGACCAGTGAAACATTCCACTACCTAAGTCAAGGTACTATACGACTTGTACTCGGGGACCAGTGAAAACAGTCCACTACCTAAGTCAAGGTACTACACGACTTGTACTCGGGGACCAGTGAAAACAGTCCACTACCTAAGTCAAGGTACTACACGACTTGTACTCGGGGACCAGTGAAACATTCTACTACCTAAGTCAAGGTACTACACGACTTGTACTCGGGGACCAGTGAAAACATTCCACTACCTAAGTCAAGATACTACACGACTGGTACTCGGGGACCAGTGAAACATTCCACTACCTAAATGAAGGTACTACACGACTTGGACTCGGGGACCAGTGAAATATTCCACTACCTAAGTCAAGGTACTACACGACTTGTACTCGGGGACCAGTGAAATATTCCACTACCTCAGTCAAGGTACTACACGACTTGTACTCGGGGACCAGTGAAAAACATTCCACTACCTCAGTCAAAGTACTACACGACTTATACTTGAGTTACAGTGAAAACTCTGAACTATATGAGTGATGACACTTCTCGATTGTTTACAACGTGTCGTGATAGTGTTTCGCAAGTGATGCAGCGTTTACCTTCCTTCCCTCATTCTAATTAGATACAGACTGCCAGGAAACCTCACTTTTGAGGTTTCGTTGAAAATATGATACGTGTAGCAGGATGAAGAATGTCAACCGTGATGTCGCAAAAGTATGCGCGTGATGCAGCCGGAAGTTTTCGTGGGAGCGCCGACTGGTGTTGAGCAACATACAGTCTTGTGACAGGGAAGCTGTTGTTGCTTCTGTTACCGGTTTGTCAAATATATATGTCAGCCCAACTTAAAGTCAGTCCCAATTCCAAATAGGGAAGCATTAAATTTTAGTCATTTCATTAATTTGTGAAGGATCCTCGTCGGCGAAGTTCAACCAGGATCAAGCATCGCTCTTTCCGCACGCCGTGCAACCAATTCTGTGAATGCTTAATGTTTGTCCAATCAGCGGTCGCTATTTGATTATGTCCTGTTTTGTTACTGGCCCCGTGAGGTGTGTGGCTGTGTTCATATAACAGAACTCGTGACAAAACATTTGTTCTTGCTATGAAACGCAATGTTACCTTGGTAACAGAAGAAATAAAGGATGTTCCGTTTTCGCTGGCGGTAGAACTCGCACATTTGTATAAAAAATGCCAGAAAAAAAATGATCAGCAATTGATGTCGGTCATTGCATCAGTTGTATTGTTCCCACGTTCTCCAACGATGGTTTTACATGCCGACAATATCAAATAAATACAATAAATACAACGATGGAATCAACAGGTGTCTGGAAATGTTTCTATTCTCCTGATAATATTTCCACTTTGTACATCATGCCAAATGTAAAAAGAATTATTTAACACAATTGACGAAAACTGTAGTGTAATATAAAATCACGTGTTACTGGTTGAAGCAAGTTCCAAGTCGGTGTTTAATAAAAAATGCCAATGCAAGAGAATAACCATTCTACATTTTAGATTCCATTTGGCATAAAGGGCATATCTGTGAAAATAATATGGATAGACCACTGAAAATCAGTGATGACACAAGGTGTTTGCGAAAAGGGTAAGTATGCCCTGTCCTACAGGCTGCAATTGCCTTTCACACGATAAACAAACAAAAGTAAGAATTTTTAAGGCAGGCATGGATGAAAACTTGGTTTTAACCAAAGAGAATTACTCTTCACTTCTAAATATCACACCATTTAATCAACAATCTACATAATGAACCTGGCCATGGGATTAGGCCTAGCTACCCGTCACGGGATCCAGCTCATTGAATTGCTGTCTGATATGTGTTAACCACGAGACGGACCCGTGATGTTCCGGGTAGAGAATAGGTCTTCAGCAACCTAAGCTTGTTGGAAGAGTCGACTAACGGGATCGGGTAGTCAGGTTCTCCGACTTGGTTGATGCTGGGACGTCGGCTTGTATTGGGTTTTTTTTACTCGCCCGTGAAGAGATCACCCGTTTAGTAAACATACAGCGGTATTGCACATTGTGTAATCCCAAAGCTTGTGCTTATGTACTGCGAACAATCTTCACTAACAAATACAGAAACCTCCCGACATCTCTGGGGTTTTTCAATGACATTGCGTGTAGAGATGAGAGGAGCTCATGCACACTCGATGACCCCAGGAACCCTGTTGAAAGGGTAACTTCATGTGGCACTGTTTCGCTGATGGATCTTCAACAAAGTTCCACAAATTACGTCAAAGGGCATTGTGACGTCATTGTAAACCTTCTTGGTGCTGGTTCCCGATCCACAAGGCGATCGTAGGGAACGACAGTCGCAAGTCGATCTATGTTTTGTTTGTCTGTTTGTTTATTTGTTGTTTAACGCCGCACTCAGCAATATTCCAGCTATATGACGGCGATCTGTAAATACTCGAGTCTGGACCAGACAATCCAGTGATTGACATTATGAGCATCGATCCACGCAATTGGGATCGATGGCATTGATCAACCAAGTCAGCGAGCCTGACCACCCGATCCCGTTCGTCGCCTCTTACGACAAGCATAATCGCCTTTTACAGCAAGTTTGGGTTACTGAAGACATATTAAAAGGTAATATATAAAAAGCTCAACTCGCTTTCGCTCGTCAGATACCAGAGCCTCGTTCCTCAAATTTATCTTATCGCTACAATGATCGTAAGCCTATGTTAAGTATGTGTCTTACGATCACTTTAGCGCCAAGATTGCTTTGAGGAACGGGTCCCAGAACTATATATTCACTCGTTTCAAAAAAATGGTATTACACGGTACTTCGTTCAGCATTCTGTATATATATATATATATATATATATATATATATATATATATGATAGCTACGCGCTATATCACATGGAACAAAGAAGAACGAAGCGTGAGTTTATTTCACGACAAAGCATGGTTCTATAATGACGTCAATCCTGGAGATTCGAACACCCATTCGCAACTTTTTTGAGAGGGGAGTGAGTGGCTACTGAGCTGTACCCCGTAGATGTAGATGAACGCAATGGCCGAAACCCCCAAAAAATAATTTAAAATTGACTTAGAATGGGAGAAAGAATCGTTTGTTTTCCCCAAGCTTCACACGGCTGACGGAAGGCCCACGCGCTGTAGTAATTTCTCCATCCAAAATTCCATTATACTCCCACTCAATTCTTCTCTCATAAACATCTGACAACCATTCATGCACAGGAGGCCACGTCAGAAGAACTCTCAATTTTCCAATTATTACATGATATATTAATAGCTTATACATGTACCGACCTGACTCTCATACTATCATGTTACACTACATTATATTATTCTTGTTTTGGGGCCACTGGCCTCAAGTACAGAAATAAGGAATTGAATTGAACATAGAGAGTCAACGCAAGTATAATGTGACTCATGTCGTCCAATAACCACTAAATCAAATTATCATGAGTGACTGTTGCGTAAGGTTCCTTACAGAGATGTAATAAGGATACAGTGACCTGATGTGTTGTGTCTGGAGCGGAACATGTTTACCGCGGACCGGATAAAATCAATATCCTCGCTTCTAGGAAATACGTATGGCCGGATATTCCACACAACAACCATCCTACATACTACAAGTATTCTAGGAACTGCACGTGCAGGAGTCCCGCAGAGATATTGTCTAACATTTGTAGATCAGGGTCAAGGCGTTTTTAATCACGTGGAGCGTCTGGCTGGCGAGCGGAAGGTCTATGGTTCGATTCCCAGGGCCCTGTTCCACAAAGCGACCTTAGCGCTACGATTGTCGTAAGTCATTGTTAAAGAATGGGAGTTACGATCGACTTAGCGCTAAGATCACTTTGTGGTTCGATTCCCTGGTCGCGTCTTACCAAAAGACGTTTGAGAAGGTACTTGGTATCCGCCCTGGCGTTTGATATTAAGAGGACACAACAAGGACTTGTCGGGTCGAAGTCAGTATATACTGTGTCTGAGTGGGGATGTTATCTGCGGCATGGTATATCAGTGAACGTAGCACGATAAGACCGACATAGGTCTGGACGCGTACAAGCAGCCACGCACCAAAGTACCATCTTTAACTTCTTTAATTTGACGCGGTCTGGGATCGAAACAGCGACCATGCGCTGTCCGGGTAGAGTCTCAATCCACTAGACCACGGAGACGATCTGCAGTTACAGATTATGTCAATCTCATTAAAATCAGATCTTAGTTTTCGGTACCGCTAAACAAAGACCTGAGGACATGCTATTACGGGTCACGTCAGAACGACCTTTCGCGAACTTTGACCGATCAATGAAATGACTGACAAACTGGCGACTACGCTTCGAAACATATTTAGACGTGCTAAAATGAACATTCTGGAATGGCTTACAGATGGCCTAGATTGTATGGATATAATTCTAAAACCCGTAACTGTCGTTCGGGATACCCTCTGTAAAATATTTCGAGGTTGCATGATTAGAAAACATATTCCGTCTGTCACTTTCAGGATCTGGTAAGCGACGCACTGATTGGTTGGATGAAAGGTCGTTCTGACGTGACCCGTAATGTGATGTCCTCAGATCTTTGTTTAGCAATAGCGAGAACTAAGATCTGATTTTAATGAGATTGCAGATTATGTATACGTTTGAATCATTCTATTGCACACAGCATTTTATGACATATAAAAATAAAAATAAAAAGACACACAAAACACATATTTTATTGCACACTGCCATTAATCATTGGTAAATCTTCTAAAACAAGACTTCAAAAACCTTTCCCACTGTTCTTTCGGCCTGAATGCCTCATATTGCACACCCTACGAGGATATGTAAGACCACATCATTCCAAGTACATTTATTCTTACATCGGTTTTAAACGTAGTATATTTGTTTATTTTAATTGTTGGCTTAATTGCATCCCATCACCAGCAGCTGAAGTGTTGGTGTAAATCCTGCTGGGGAGCCGTGCAGGTAGCAGAAGTAATGTAAGTCCCCACGGTCCATAGTGAGGTGGCCTCACTTTGGCTGCTGGTGATCTATAGCCCTTTTTTATATTGTATTGTTGAATGAAAATGTATTCTTTTAACTGTTCTCAACTAGTTTTTAAATCGAAACTGTGATACTGTAGTTATCTTACTGTCCATCGTTGACAGCTTTTTAATTAAATCAAAATATAATTAATATAACTGTTTCGTCACCATATGGCTGAAATATTGCCGATGTGACGTTAAATTTCACTCACTCACTCACTCACTCATATTGCACAGGTTCCCGATTGGTTATTTAAATTCGGTAATGACCTCTATAGTAATCGAGAAAGGGACAACAGTCGTTTCACAGCGAAGAAAGAAGTGCATGAGGTTCGCCTTTATCAGCCACCATAGTCTGAGGGTTATTCCTTCCAGGCGGCCTATTCACGAAGCTGTCTTAGCGCTAAGATTGGCGTAATATGTCGTAGCGAAAAACGTCTTAGTTAAGTCTATTCTCGAAGGTGTCTTAGCGCTAAGCTATCTTAAGTTTAAGACAAAAATTAAGACAGGGTCTGACCTGTCGTAAACCTGTCTTAGTATGCATCATGGCGTCCTACCTATTGCTCGGGCTTCTCGATAGAGAAAAGCAATCAACCCTAACACCTTCTAGGAAGAAAATATTCCGTGACAGGACGAGTCAGCTGGACACGCTAGATGACACGCAGCTTATATCTAGATATAGGCTAAATCGGCATGCCATCATGCAAATTATTGCGACTGTGGGGCCCTACCTCGAACTACCGACCAAGCGTTCGGTACCTCTATCACCCGAAATGCATGTTTTGATAACTCTACGATACTTGGCAAAAGGTGGTTTTCAGTCTGAAATTGGGGACCTGCACGGTGTCAGTCAACCTAGTGTATCGAGGGTGATACTTAAAACCATAAATCTACTGTGTAAACATCTGAATTTGATACACTTTCCAAACGATGCCACAACCCGTCAAAACACAAAAGAAAGATTTTATGACATAGCTGGGTTCCCCAATGTAATAGGGTGCATCGATGGCACGCTGATCGCTATTATTAGACCACCGCATGACGAGGAGGTCGCTTACGTGTGCCTTAAGGGTTACCATGCCATCAATATTCAAGCAATATGTGATGCTGATCTCCGGTAATTGTACACGGTTTTGTAATAGTAATGAAATTGTATATTGAATGAGAAAGATACATACTGCTACACGATAACATTAAATGTACCGCCTCGCATAGTTGACCTTGACCATGACCCATTGCGCCGCCTGTCAATAAACCCAGCCAATGACATCGAAGGGGCACAATAAAGGTTTAAGGAAGGGGTTCCTATAAGGTAAATTAATTATAATATTAACAGTTTGTGATGTTCATACACACATTGTTCTGTCAGTAGAATGAAATGTGAAAGAAATATGTTTTTGAAATGAAATAACTCACTAAGGTAGCCCTGGACAATGGGTAGATGTGACCCACCAAGATAGCCCTGGGCAATGGCTTGATGTGACTCACCGAAGTAACCCAGGACTATGGCTTGATGTGACTCACCAAGATAGCCCTGGACTTTAGGTCAGCCACCACAAGGTGTAGGTTATTCGTTCCAGGACTCAAGGTCAGTCAACACTCTGTAGGTTATTCCGAGCATGACTCTTTACGGAGTATTTTCACAAAAGGCAGTGACTGAACGCATAATTCTACTGACAAATGTTATCTGAAGCCTTGTCATTGTGTTCCATTTGAGAATAGCTTGTATTAATACCTCGTCTCAGTAGCTTTAGATTCAGCCTCGTTTGAGAGTTGGCGTCCTTTAGACACACTAGGGATTAGCTCCCATATCCAGTCCTTAAACAAAGATTTATGGTATCTAATCATTCCATAGTCATGGTCATGCCCTCACACGGTCGACCCCATTCTCTCTCTGAACCACAAACCGTTTGTTAGATTTCAAAGCTGTTAAAGTAAGCACTTATCTCAGCCTCCTCCGTTTCCTCCTTCGGGGCGTCTCTCCATGTCCACCACCGGTACAACGTGTACGACAGGTGTCTGCAGCAGCGGCAGTCGAAGTGAATGTAACCGATAAAATCCCTCGACCCACACAGAAACTGAACCAGATATCTCCGCCATGACGCCATCTTCCTCTGCAGCCTCAAGTACATATGAAAATCGGAGTCTCTTAGGACACCACAGAGTCGACCAATCTCCTGTACCAGCAGTTGATGTAGTTGCTCTACACGAACACGATCTGAAGTCATTAACAGCAGGTGTTCAAGAGCGCTTAGGAATCCACAATCTGCCATGTTGGTCTTGAATATTATCTCATAATCCTGAATCTCTGACAACGTCGCTTCAGCTTCCTGTTGTCTCCCCTGTGCCATGTACGCATGCGCAAGTGACAGGCGGATGTCGACGTTGGTGGGATGGGTCGGCATGCATCTGATGAAGATCTCAATAGCTTGATGGCAGGACCTGACTGCTTCCTCGTACAGGCCTCTGGTAACAAAAACAAGACAGATTATCAGTGAAACATCAGTGATTCTCTTGCGCCACAGAATCTATTTTTTATTCTTTGAAACAATGTCTGCGTTCGACACGGCGCATGGTTCTGGAATTGACTCTGGAGTAAGTTGGCGAATGTCTTTAGCTGCAGGCACAGATGTTACAGATATATCATGCTAGCCCATAGTCAGCAAATAATTTTGCAATGTCATGTCGGCCTGCAGTCAGTAATGGAATAGCTAAGCACCCTTCTCCAATAAGCGCCATAAGCCCAATTTCTAGTTAAATTTGTAAGGAGTAGTCTATGCAAGCGTCCCTATCCTTATTATCATTATTATAACATTGAAATGGTATATGTTAGTCAAAACGTGTGTGCTGAGTAACGGTGTAATGATCGTAACTCGGCGGTGTGAATAGCTCATTCTATTAAGCACTGGATTGTCTGGCTCAGACAGCATTATTTACAGGCCAACGGAATGCAGCTGGGATGCTCACGACCTGAAAGTTGAACCCGTACTGTCGATAACATAGACAACGATGGAAGGTGAGTCACGGCGCAGGTGTCGAGTCGACGGTGGCGCTTTGACGCTTACACGTCAACTCCACGTGCACTCCACGTGGACTCCACGTCACCCCCCACCCCCAGCAAAACTGTCCTGAAATGTGTCGCCCAAGCCCATGTTTCTAATATGGGTTAGCACTACTCACTTGAACAGATAAGCGTTGGCCCTGTTCCAGAGAGAGATGCCGGTGTTGTAGTCCCACCAGCCCAACTTCCGCCTGAGATTTAGCGCCTCCGACAAGTACCGCAACGCCCGGTCTGAATGAAGACATACATATGTCAATTTATTCTCCTATATTAGAACAAGAAACACGCTAGCAGGATATTCATTTTACATTGGCGTATATTTATGTCTCTAGACATCTGGGAGTTGGGTGGGTAAGTGGTGTAATGTCCCGCAATTTTCCGTGCAGGGCATATGGGGAAGGCTCATGCAACTGATCGGCACATGTTCCAGTAAAAAGTTTCAGCGAGCTGACCCACATCACTGTGTTATTGTTTATATCCTCTTTCAGCAGCAGCTGTGTTGTGGCGAGACTGTCCTTTATCTGATAGAACCGAGGGTCAGGAGACAGTTATAGGTACATAGGTGTAATATTTTCTTCAACTTTCAAGATGACAAAGTGTATTGCTGATCTAGCAAATCGTGGAAAACGGGCTTTGATGGAAATAAATATAAATTTGAATAAAATAGGAATGATTGATCCAAAAGTATATTTTAAAATATTTGATACACAGGTATTACCAATACTTTTATATGGGTCAGACGTATGGGGTTACCAGCGGTATGATCAATTAGAACGAGTTCATCTTTTGGCATGTAAAAGTTTTTTAAAGGTGGGAAAACAAACGCCAAATGCCATTGTCCATGGTGAATGTTGTCGCTACCCGCTTTATGTCAATGCGCAGGTCCGCATGATAAAGTATAGGTTAAAATCAACCCGAATGCATGAAGGGCGTATCCCAAGAAAAGTATATAACATGTTTATGTATTTCGACAACATTGTTCATAATACTTGGGTAGCATCTGTTCGTAACATTTTATTTTCGCATGGTTTGGGATTTGTATGGTTAAACCAGTCTGTTGGGGACAACATAGCTTTTATTGGGGTGCTTAAAACGTGTCTTGTAGATGAATCAACACTCAACAGTAGTACCCGATATATGATGAATAAAGATTATAAAACACTGTTTGAACCTGAAAGATATTTGAGCATTTACAATAGCAAACATGTACGCAGTGTTTTTTATTAAATTAAGATGTAATGTTTCACCTTTACGACAGAACGAGGGTAGATGGCAATCTATTGAATCATGTTTACGTATGTGTCCTGTTTGCAATATGTCTGTTGAAGATGAATATCATTTCGTATTGATCTGTAAACATTATACTGAGCTGCGTAAAGTTTATTTGCCAGAATTGTATTGGAAGTTTCCAATTATATATAAATCCAAAATATGATTGTGTACAACTCAGGATGAGTTATTAAAACGTCTGCAATATTATGTATATTATTCGTATAAACAAAGACAGGAAGTCGTAAAATCTGTGTAATGTGCTTCACATTGTATTGTTGTCACTGCATCTTCTTGTATATGGGCCAAAGGCCTACACACAAAAAACTAATTTTGACTTTGACTTGACTTTGAGACATAGACTTACACAGGCTCCCAAAGCATTGACAAGATTGTTTTTGTCTTATTATTTTACTTGTTCACATATATTATACTTATTCACATGTTACATTATTTGTCTAGTGCATACTAGGTAGAATATATCACCCTGTTCATTCACATAATATTTTTGTTATCTGATACCACATCTCCAAATAAACTGCAGCGCGGCCCCTTCAGTGAAGGTTGACATGAACAAATCTCCCACCTCATAACTGATAAAGACGAGGACGGCTGGATTATTAATCTGCAAGCTGTAACAGACGACACTTTCTTTACTTCCGGCTGGGAATGCATTTACATTACACAATCTCATCTTCAATTAGTTCCACCATTATATCATCAAGCGTACCAAATAAAACAGGTAAAGTAGCCATATAGATAGTAAAGATATATATCAGTGTGTTCTTGTGTTATAATGCATTTTGTTCTCATCAAATAATCTTATAAACCAACTGAGCAAAAAGTCGCTTGAAGCTACTATATATAATATGATTCATATGATCAGTAGTTTGACCTTTGTGAAGTTCTTTTTTTAAATGTATGCCCGTCTTTTACAAATGTAATGTAATGTTACCAATGATCAAAGTTTCATTGGAAACAGAATAACGACAAGAAAATTACAATCACATCATATGCTTCTTCTGCATAACTCCCAACCAGTAAAATTGATCTTATGCATGTTCAATTTGCTATATACCCCGTCTCGGAAACTATATAGCTTCCCTTTAACACGGGGGGTTGTCAATACAAACGTCCCTATGGAAATAGTTTGAAAACATAGTTGCACATCTGGGAGACTTGCATTTTTCGCTTCGAAATAGTTTAAAATACAGGTTTGAAATATTACTTGCTAACTCTTTTACCGTTTAGGCATAACATTACTTAAAATGAGTCGCTCTGTGCCCCCTCTTGGAAACTATAGAGCTTCCCTCAAACACGTGAGGCTGTCTGTGCAAACGTCCCTATGGAAATAGCTGAAAACTTTGTGGCACATCTGGGAGCCTGGCATTTTTCGCTTCGAAATAGTTGAAAATACGGGTTTTAAATATTATTTTCTAACTCCTTAACCATTTAGGCATAAAAAAAACTTTAAAAGAGCCGCTCTATACCCCATATCGGAAACTATATAGCTTCCCTTTAACACTGGGGGTTGTCTATGCAAACGTCCCTATGGAAATAGCCTGAAAACTTAGTTGCACATCTGGGAGCCTCGAATTTTTCGCTTCGAATTAGTTTAAAATACGGGTTTTAAATATTATTATCTCTTTCCTTAACCGTTTAGGCATAAAATAACTTTAAAATAGCCGCTCTATACCCAGTATCGAAAACTATAAAGCTTCCCTTTAAAACGGGGGGAGGGGGGGGGGGCTATGCAAACGTCGGAAAGCCATATAGTGTTCCAACGGGGGTATCGAGCGACTCCTTTTACGTTATGTTATACATAAACAGTTAAAGAAGGAGAACATAGTATTTCAAACCCGAAATTAAATTATTTTCTGTCGAGACAGGACTTTAACAACATTTGTAATACAAGGCGATATCAATTGTGCCGAATGTACTATGATTCATAATAATACTTCTTTGAATTTTGAACTTTGTTTCTATTTACATGTGTTATCATGTTGTCAAAACAATGACGCACTGAAGTCCAAAGCAGATATTCCACTGCACTGCACAATACACATTGAACGTTAAAAGCCCCTTGCATGAATGCGCAATGCGGATGCGATAGGGTAATTCTCTGAAATGTTGGAGGCAAAAGGAATTTCAAAGCTTTGTACTTATAGATTGTGGTGTTCCAGAGAATTCCGCGCTCGTCCTCACGGTAGACTACACCAAATGCATGGTGATAAATGATGATTGGAGATCTACATTTGTTTGTTTGTTGTTTAACGCCACACTCAGCAGTATTCTAGCTTTATGACGGCGTCTGTAAATAATCTAACCTGCCCCAGACAATCCAGTGATTAACATCATGAGCATCGATCTACACAATTGGGATACGATGACATGCATCAACTAAGTCAGCGAGCCTGACCACCCGATCCCGTTAGTCGCCTTTTACGACATGCATGGGTTGCTGACGACACGGCGCTTCACGGGTTAATATTGTTAGTATCGGGTGACCACGCCTGTATGAACACCACCAAGCCAATAGTCCTTCATTTCCCAATGGACGTCCGTATGCCGCGAGATTGCGTTATCAATTCTAATTACGAATTCCCCGACGTCTAACAATAACATCAAAGAGGGTCGGAATTTGCTCACGTGAGAAGGCACTGTCTTCATCTGACAGCCTACCTACCCACATACCTACAAATGTAGACTAAAAAAAGGCATAACTAAGAAATCATTTTTACGAAATAGGATTGTTAAAAATACTTAAACAAAAATGGCATTAAAATTTCCACTAAAAGAACGATTTTGTAAATTCTGTAATTGTGATACTGTTGAAGATGAAGTTCATTTTCAATCTTAGATTTTGGGAAAGATGTAGCTTCCCTAGATCTTATTTTATATACGCAGTTGCTTGTACATTAATTTAATGTTAAGTTCTACTTTTCTTAACCCCCTCGCTGCACTTCGATCTGAAATGCATAAACGGCGTCTCGCCGACCAAGGGAGGTATTTACAGGTTGTTACAATTAGCATCGGCCAGATGTGGTATTTTTAGTAATGTATTGTGTATTGTTCGTCATACGTGATGTGACACACTAATGCAATATTTTCGCCTTCGTTAACTGTACCAAAAAAACCAGAGATGTAATGATGATTTCCCCCGATATTGTGCAGTCTGGATCAATTAGAATTGAACTAAAGGGTTTTGCAATGACACTTTGGTCATATAATTTCGTCTATCGTAAACAAACCATTTAATCGACTTAGAATATTAAGTATGTAACTAACTCTTCTGACAAACACAAAATGTATTTTGATATTAAGAAGTAAATAACATTGAAAAAATCGCAAGAAGTCGGCGTGAGAGTTCTGGAGACAGATAGTGAGCTGGGGGCGTCCCGTATTTCCACAGGGAGGGAGACTTGCCGCCAGTCTATGTAACCCAACTATCCCCTGGGTTCACGCTTACTGGCACTTCGTTGTGGCTCCTGGCACACGGCACATAGGAGCCTTCCCCCACTCATGCAGAGTTAGTCATTAACTGTGCCAGAAGCCCTGGTCATGGGTTCGATTCCAAAAGGTGTACCGATTATGGACACTGGCCTGTCTGCACTAACACCCCACTTTTGTAACACTAAGCTTGCACCATTGGTGTAACTAAAATAGTATTTAAAACAGCGTTATACCAAAGAAGGGAGGGGTCCAAAATATCACAAATCCTCTCAGATAATTCTACTGCCTGCAACTTACTACATTTGGTTTTCAATGGGGGACGGGGGTCCGGACCACTATGAAGAAGACTGGCGAAGCACTAGACTCAGTAAAGAGATAACATGGAAGTGAGCAGACCGTATTCCCCTCTCCAGAGGTACCGAGATCCCAGGTTGTTGAGGTTGTTGACGAGATACAAGGGGAGGTAATTCACCAGCTTCCGTCTCTCGTGACAAGACAGAAGGAAGAAGGTTAATGCTTCGTCGAACATCCTCTCTGAAGACAGAAGTAAGAGCTTATAGAATACATGGATTCCTGAAGCGTTAACATATCAACTTGTCAGCACACGCTTCGTGGCGTCTAGTGAACGTTTGGACTAACACTCCACTGACGAACAACATTACAATGATAACATATTCTATTAATACTTAAACCTATACATGCAAACCCTCACAATCTAGAGACTAAAAGATATCTCACGCTTCTCCAAGGTAAGGCCCATGGTCTGTATCATGACTGCAAGCACCGGGTGTCCCGGCATGATCTGGTGAGCTCGGGGGATAGTGCGCCGGAGTATCCTCTCAGCCTCAGGGTAGTTCCCTGTAGACATAGTGTAATAATACTGACACCCTCAGGCGATCGCTCTAAATTAAGAGGTGGGGTGAAATTGGGTTTAACGTCGCCTCCAAGATTACTGCACGTGGATGGTGTGTGCGTATGTGGCTGCTTGTACTGGTCCGGATTTATAGTGCTAGCTCACTGAGATACCATGCCGCAGTTTAACATGAATACCCCACTCAGACACAGTATACTGACTCCGAGCCAACCAGTCCTTGTTTTAGCCCCTAATGTCGAGCGCCAGACAGGGTAACAACAAGTGCCATCTTTTAACGTCTTTGGTATGACGCGGCCTGGGATCGAACCCCGGACCTTCCGCTCTCCGGGCGGACGCTCTACCACAAGACCACGGAGGTGGTCTCTCTTTATTAAAAGATAAAGGTAGCCCTGGACAATAGCTAGATGTGACTCATCAACATAGCCCTGAATTATGTACAGATGCCCTGGCCAATGGCAGGATGTGACTCACCAAGATAGCCCTGGACAATGGCTAGATGTGACTCAGCAAGATAGCCCTGGACAATTGGTAGATGTGACTCACCAAGACAGCCCTGGACAATAGCTAGATGTGACATACCAAGATAGCCCTGGACAATAGCTAGATGTGACTCACCAACATAGCCCTGAATTATGTACAGATTCCCTGGATAATAGCTTGACGTGACTCACCAAGGTAGCCCTGGACAATAGCTAGATGTGACTCACCAAGATAGCCCTGGACAACAGCTAGATGTGACTCACCAAGACAGCCCCGGACAATAGCTAGATGTGACTCATCAAGATAGCCCTGGACAATAGCTAGATGTGACTCACCAAGATAGCCCAGGACAATAGCTAGATGTGACTCACCAAGACAGCCCTGGACAATAGCTAGATGTGACTCACCGAGGTACCCCTGGACTATAGCTAGATGTGACTCGCCAAGGTAACCCTGGACAATAGCTAGATGTGACTCACCGAGGTACCCCTGGACTATGGCTAGATGTGACTCACCGAGGTACCCCTGGACTATGGCTAGATGTGACCTTGCTTGAATCCTGTGAGGCACAACCATGGTCTCGTAGTTGGAAGTAACGCTTGTTTTGAGAGATGCGTTGAGATACCTGAAAAGAGTGAGTGAGTGAGTTGGGTTTAACGCCGCTTTTAACAGTATACAAGTTATATCGCGGCGCGTCAGCTTAATGTGGGAGGAAAGCCGAAGTGATGCAGGTCTCAGACGTTTACCACTTACGGGTATGGTGCTAACAAACCTAGAAACATAATTGGGGCGAAACGGGATTGGAACCCACAATCATAGGTGCCTAAGGGACGCAACTCTGCACAGCGAAGCGCGGCACCTTAGATGAGTGGGCCTGAAACAAAGTTGTGTTACCTTTGATATTTAATGTGTCTGTACATTTTGACCAGGACTGTCTATTAGAAATAGAACACCTAGATAATTGTAGTATAAAAGTAGTCACTTTTATAGGAAGGTCACCCATAAACCTTTTTTCAAAATGCCTTAGTATACCCCCATTTCTGTATACCACTACTTCTGTTTTATCCAAATTAACAATTCTTACAAAAGCTATCAAGAATTTTATCTTTCCTTTGTGGCCAACCAACATCATCATCAATCACGCATAAAGCATCTGCATATAATGAAATAAGTATTTCCAGAAACTTTGGTCCAACCGTTATACCCCTGAGATTATTATCTTCAATTATCTTATTCAGCAGTTCTAACATAAACATAGAAAAGAAAAAAGCACTGATAACACAACCTTGACGAACACCACAGCTGCTTTTCGAAAGTGACGTCTTCATCTCCATCTATCTTACCACAAACTTAGCACAGAAGTTTTCTCGTTCGTAAGTTTGATTTGATTGGACGGCTATGTTAAGCGTTAGCTTAAAACATAGCTCCAGGCACCATCTCGATATAATACACTGAATAATAGAAGACTGTTTGAAGGCACATAAATGGTTGAAAACAAGGGGTGCCATGACATACAATCATTGTGAGCAACAGCCAAGGTCTCGAGTTTGTTATTAAAGCATTCATAATATATAGTGTGATGTCTTTCTCATTGTTGAAGCCGTCATGTGTCATTCGATAGAAGCGTATCTTAACTCCAAGTCAGATCTGAAAATTTACAGTACTTGGAATATTTAAAATGGAATGGGAATTACCCGGAAGTGGACTCCCCACGCCAAAGCCAATCACATGTCTCCGTTTGTTGGAACCTCCTTACATTATATTAGCTAACATAGACGTTGAATCTTCCTTTTTCTAGTTATTATATCAGAAAACAATTATAGATTTCATATGAGGTCAGACCGTGTTTTTATGGACCCGAAAAAAGATTCGCCCATGTTTGATATTGCTTTTTGGGATCCATTAAAACAGGTTTTGACCTCCAAGGAACTTTATAATTCTATATTATCAACCAAACCTGGCCTCCACAGGAGATATCGCTTGGGTGAGACTACACCACAATGACGTGCAGATCATTATGGCACCATCGATTACCATGATATCGGAATCATAAGGCATCACTAACCTATGCCACAGAAGCTGGTTAGCTGTACTTTTACAAAGAATGACTTTGGAGTGAGTGAGTGAGTGAGTTTGGTTTAACGCCGATTGTAACAGTATTGCAGCTATATCACGGCATCTCAGCTTAATATGGGAGGAAATCCCGAAGTGATGCATGTCACAGACGTTTACCACTTCGGTGAAACCCAGGATCATGGGTATGGTGCTGACAAACCTAGAAACATAATCGACGCGAACCGAGATTCGAACCCACAATCATGGGTTTCTTGCGTGCCCAAGGGACGCAACTCTGTACAGCGAATCGCGGCGCCTAAAACGACTTCCAATGATTTTGGAAGATAATTAGAAGCTCACTCTCGTATGTTTCGATAGCTAATGTTATCGACTTGAGTTGATGTATTTGCCGTCAAAAGACATTAAAGACATTCTCTGTCTTTCCGTCGTTTCCCACACTAAACTGACGCGCTGCGATATCACTGAAATAATCCAACTCACTCATCCAACTCGAATATTCAAAACACCTCCTAAAGGATTCAGCTACTCTTACCCTTAAGAATATGTATGCTTGTATTACCACGACATCGTACAACATGACTGGTACAAGACAAATGCTGGCCTCTGGGTTGTTGCCATCGCCAACACTCTCCCGGGTTGATAAAAACAGCGTCCCCTTTCACTCGTTAATACATACCCTGCTGTGTGGTGAAGTCGCTGTGTGGTGTAGTCGCCATGTGGCGTAGACGCCTTTTAGGCGTAGTCGCTGTGTGGTTTAGTCGCTGTGTGGTGTTGTCGCCGTGTGGTGTAGACGCTGTTTTGTGTAGTCGCTGTGTGGTGTAGTCGCTGTGTGGTGTAGTCACCGTATGGTGTAGTCGCTGTGTGGTGTAGTCGCTGTATGGCGTAGTCACTGTGTGGTGTAGTCACCGTGTGGTGTAGTCACCGTATGGTGTAGTCGCTGTGTGGTGTAGTCGCTGTATGGCGTAGTCACTGTGTGGCGTAGTCACTGTGTGGTGTAGTCACCGTGTGGTGTAGTCACCGTATGGTGTAGTCACTGTATGGTGTAGTCACCGTGTGGTGTAGTCACCGTGTGGTGTAGTCACTGTATGGTGTAGTCACCGTGTCGTGTAGTCACCGTGTGGTGTAGTCACTGTATGGTGTAGTCACCGTGTGGTGTAGTCACTGTGTGGTGTAGTCACTGTGTGGTGTAGTCACCGTGTGGTGTAGTCACCGTGTGGTGTAGTCGCCGTGTGGTGTAGTCACCGTGTGGTGTAGTCACCGTGTGGTGTAGTCACTGTGTGGTGTAGTCGCTGTTTGGTGTAGTCGCTGGTGTAGTCGCCGTATGGTGTAGTCACTGTATGGTGTAGTCACTGTGTGGTGTAGTCGCTGGTGTAGTCGCTGTGTGGTGTAGTCACTGTGTGGTGTAGTCACTGTATGGTGTAGTCACCGTGTGGTGTAGTCACTGTGTGGTGTAGTGGTTGTGTGGTGTAGTCGCTGTGGTGTAGTCACTGTGTGGTGTAGTCACTGTGTGGTGTAGTCACTGTATGGTGTAGTCACCGTGTGGTGTAGTCACTGTATGGTGTAGTCACTGTATGGTGTAGTCACTGTATGGTGTAGTCGCTGTGTGGTGTAGTCACTGTATGGTGTAGTCACTGTGTGGTGTAGTCGCCGTGTGGTGTAGTCACTGTGTGGTGTAGTCACTGTGTGGCGTAGTCGCTGTGTGGTGTAGTCACCGTGTGGTGTAGTCACCGTGTGGTGTAGTCACTGCGTGGTGTAGTCACTGTGTGGTGTAGTCACTGTGTAGTGTAGTCACTGTATGGTGTAGTCACCGTGTGGTGTAGTCACTGTGTGGTGTAGTCACTGTGTGGTGTAGTCACTGTATGGTGTAGTCACTGTATGGTGTAGTCACTGTGTGGTGTAGTCACTGTATGGTGTAGTCACTGTATGGTGTAGTCGCTGTGTGGTGTAGTCGCTGTGTGGTGTAGTCACTGTATGGTGTAGTCACTGTATGGTGTAGTCGCTGTGTGGTGTAGTCACTGTGTGGTGTAGTCACTGTGTGGTGTTGTCACTGTATGGTGTAGTCGCTGTGTGGTGTTGTCACTGTGTGGTGTAGTCGCTGTGTGGTGTAGTCGCTGTGTGGTGTAGTCGTTGTGTGGTGTAGTCGTTGTGTGGTGTAGTCACTGTGTTGAATAGTCGCTGTGTGGTGTAGTCGCCGTGTGGTGTAGTTGCTGTGTGGTGTAGTCGCTGTGTTGTGTAGTCGCTGTTTGGTGTAGTCGCTGTGTGGTGTAGTCGCTGTTTGGCGTAATCGCTGTGTGATGTAGTCGCTGTATGGTGTAGTCGCTGTGTGGTGTAGTCGCTGTGTGGTGTAGTCACTTTGTGGTGTAGGCTTCCGGGGGAGTTTGTGTTGCACACGATGTCCACCGAGGGACATTGCCGTTTGTGCGATGTAAACTGTACGCTTAGATTGCACCTCCACGGTATCTCTCTCGCTGGAACCCATCTTCCCGAGGCAAGAGATTTAACTGACTTTAAAAGTCCAGTTTCCACCCTTGCTGAACTTGGTTGGAATTCCTGGGCTCGACCGTAACGCCACCAGTGGTTATTACGAGTTATGTCCCTTCTAAGCCTCTCATATGGACCAATCAGATTCCACCACTCGTATCACTTGCATTTGCTTCAAACGAAATGGCGGCGCCCAGTCAAAACGATCTGATGGACAATCAAGATCTATATTGTGATAAAATGGGTCTCACATAGCGAAGTGCATCAAATCAAGTGAGCACCTCGATTAAAAACATGAAAAGACTTGAAAAGAAGAATCAACGAGTTGGAGGTGCACATGCTTTGCAAATCCTGCAATCGACAAAAATCTGCACGACATTTTACGAACCGGATTTCGATTTCGGTGCGCGATTTTGATTGACTATGCATAGACTCGTTAGTCCAGCCAAAATGTAACTCCATAACACCAGCCTAGTTCGGCAAGGGTGGAAACTGGACTTTTATAGTCAGTTAACTCCCTTGCCTCGGGAAGATGGGTTCCAGCGAGAGAGACACCGTGGCGGTGCAATCTAAGCGTACAGTTTACATCGCACAAACGGCAATGTCCCTCGGTGGACATCGTGTGCAACACAACCTCCACCGTGGTCTAATATATAGAGTGTCTAATTGGAGAGCTGAAGGTCGTTGGTTTGATTCCATTGCCGCGTCATACCAAAATACGTTAAAAGATGGTACTTGTTGTTACCCAAGGGGATAAAACAAGGACTGGTCGAGTTGGAATCTGTATGCTGTGCTGTGACATGGTATCTCGTTGGCTTCGCATTATAAAACCTGACTAGGAGAAACAGCCATACACCCATGTACATGTGTTCTTAGTAGACTGACATTTAGTCCCAGAAATATATATCCACAAAATAAAATAATAAAATCCAAATGGAGCCCAGAAAAATCATTTAGAGCTGAGGCAATCTTGACTTGCCAAATCATTCTAGACTTGAGTTAGACTTTTCTTTCTTTTTCTCTAGGGTCTGGGAGGCAGGCTTGTATTCTTCGCTATATATCACAAGCTGAATCTAATGGACACGCTTTACCACTACACCGCACATATCGGCCCAATGTATTCCCGGGTGATGGGGAACGTAGTGTATACAAACCCGGAAGTATTGATGAGGATCAAGATGCGATTACCTCTCGGCCCGGATGCTGTCCCCAACCCGGACATGGAACCAGCCGAGTCTGCGCAGAAACATCACACGGTAGTAGCTGTCTTCCGGTGTGTTCAGTTCTGACACGACTGTCTTCAGAGTGGTGATCGCTTCTGGAAGTGTCTCGTCATCTGGGGAAAATAATTGTAATTTGCACGCTTCGTCTTGAAAATGGCGTAAGAAACTTAACCCTGTTCTGATCTATGACAAAGGTGATCGGTGCGCCAACATCAACGGTTATCGATACCAACTAGCTAAGCATAAGATAAGAAATATCATATATGACACGGGTTGGATTTAGGCACTGTGCTGTACACGAAGAGTTGCGCTTCTTGTTTTACCAGGATCCGCTGTTCCGATTTCAGATTAACCCTGATTACGACCCTCAGTTTCAAGTACACTATTGGGCAAAAGAAAGTATACACTTGAAAATGTGACTTGACCAAAAAAATACAAACGTTATCAAAATACTATTAGGCTGAAAAGAGTCGCCGATGACTGCAAACGTAAGGTCTAAGACAAAACTATGATACCCGTATCAAATACATCACCATCGAATAACCATTTCTTGTTTGTGTCACATAGGTGTTTACTTTTTTCTGCCCGGCAGTTTCGTAAACGTCAACGACCTCAGACACACTGGGGGGCACGGGTGGCCCAGTCGTCTAAGGCGCTACGATTCGTTGTGCAGAGTTGCGTCCCTTGGACACGCCAGAAGCCTATGATTGTGGGTTCGAATCCCGGTTCGCCCCGATTATGTTTCTAGGTTTGTCAGCACCATACTCGTGCTGGTGGGTTTCACCGAAGTGGTAAACGTCTGAGACCTGCATCACTTCGGGCTTTCCTCCCACATTAAGCTGACACGCCGCGATATAACTGGAATACTGTTAAAAGCGGCGTTAAACCCAACTCACCCACCCATCAGACACACTGGCTTTCCTCCCACATCAAGCTGACACCGGTGATATAACTGAAAGACTGTTTAAAGCTGCGTACAACTTAACTCACTGATTCGCTTCTTCAAACTATTTGGAGGCGCTTAGTACAAATCAGTATGGCCATATTTCTTCACCAGCCTTGTAATAGCATTTAGGAAGACAGTAAGAAGTGTCACTCAGACAAGGCCGAAGTTCTGTCGCAAGACATGCAGATAACATAAAGCTACTTTCATAGTCTTCCGCAGTAAAATATCCCTGCTAACCTTTCAGTGAAACGGCCCAAAATCCCCGTAGTAGTAACTGTTCCCTGGCGGTGCCCACTCTACCAGACGCCTCTGCCATCCCCGAGTAGAAGAGCTGGGACCGACCTGGGCCGAGCGCTGAGAGTGTCCCCTCCTCGTGCAGCACAACCTAGGGCAGCACGGAAGTACCACACATACAGGCATAGCAAGGCGGTTTTTATAAATACAAAACCAGACAAAGCAAATGTAAAATTAATACGAATTTTGAAAATACTGGATCCTGATTCAAAATCACACCTCTGATTGGAACAGCTGATTTAACGGGCGCGTCACCGTGGTAGGTGAGGTGAAATGGGGTTTAATGTCGCGTCCAAGATTATTGCAATTATATAGCGACGTGCATGCACGTGTGTGTGTGTGTGTGTGTGGCTGCTTGTACTAGTCCGGACTGATGCCGAGTTATAGTGCTAGCACACTGAGATATCATGCCCCAGTTTAACATGAATACCCCACTCAGACACAGTATACTGACTCCGAGCCGACCAGTCCTTGTTTTAGCCCCTAAATGCCGAGCGCCAGACAGGGTAACAACAAGTACCATCCTTTAACGTCTTTGGGTATGACGCGGCCGGGGATCGAACCCCGGACCTTCCGCTCTCCAGGCGGACGCTCTACCACTAGACTACGGAGGCGGTCCGCATCACCTTGGTAGATAATATGTATAGAAAAGTACTTTCCTCATCATTGTCGAGAGGCATTTTGACACAATTGCATGTCACAGAGTATGTGTGGCAATACATTTTGGGTAGAAAACACGAAGAAATCAAATAAGAGTGTATTTCAAGTTTAGGTCACAACTGAAAGCGAGACATTTGGCACTTGTCCAGATCCGACTGTGACGAAAATATTAGTGAGGGGTGTTACGTCACAATAGCAACTCGCGGTATATAACAACACTTTGGCTTGAGTTGGCTTAAGACGTTGGCTATGCCACACACTTTCAATGACTGTCACCCATACGAGTAAAGTGTATTGATCTTAAAAACGATGTCTGACCACATACAGAATTAACATATCCAGAGTATTTGTTAGATGTTCTACCTGATGTAGATCGACGTTATCTTGACTGGGAGTTCCCTTTCTGAATATATAACTCCAGACGTAGCTCATATCAATGAGTGAGTGAGTGGGTGAGTTGGGTTTAACGCCGTTTTTAACAGTATTCCAGTTATATCGCGGCGTGTCGGCTTAATGTGGGAGGAAAGCCCGAAGTGATGCAGGTCTCAGACGTTTACCATTTCGGTGAAACCCACGAGCACGGGTATGGTGCTGACAAACCTAGAAACATAATCGGGGCGAACCGGGATTCGAACCCACAATCATAGGTTTCTGGCGAGCCCAAGGGACACAACTCTGCATAGCGAATAGCGGCGCCTTAGACGACTGGGCCACCCGTGGCCCCTAGCTCATATCAACCGGGTGGGAACCGGTCTTCAGAAACCCATACTTGTCATAAGGGGCAAGTATCGGGCGGATCGGGTTGTCAGGTTTAGGATACATGTCATCGCATCCCAGTTGCGTTGATCGATGCTCATGATGTCAGTCGCTGGATTGTCCGGGACAGAGTCGATTATTTACAGGCTGTCATCATATAGTTGGAATTTTGTGGCGTTAAACAACAAACAAATAAACTTACCTCTAGGTACACGCGGTAGGTGTTCTCTCCGGAGGTGTTCACAGCCTGGGTCAAGGTTGTCTCCAGTGACCGGAAGTTGTCATGAGGAAAACCTAGCACTCTACCATTAGTTCTTACAGAACCTTCTTGGCGCATGAGCAGTAGCATTGCACCGAGAAAGTCAACTATTGGCTTACGTTGTGGGTCGTGGTGATTCACATGGGGAATATCTTTGTTGACAAATGCACGAATGAAACTGTCGACCTTCATCTGATTCAGACTAACATTAAAGTCAAGTATGACATTTTCCCGCAGTGGTACAGCAGTACGGAGCTTATATTCACTAACACTGGATTTGCCCAACAGCGACGTTGCTTCCGCCGCGCCGAAATACCCCTCAAGTCGACACAGGGACACAGCGTCAGATTTAAGACGAGGAGGAAGTCGAGCGAGCTGGAGACCGACGGCATGTTCCAGGTTGTCGGCTTGGTTGGGATACTGGGAGAAAAGCGCCAAAGCATCCTCCGGACCTCTTAAACGTTCAGCTAGTTCTTCAAGGCTCAGAAGGTCCCCGTGAGCTTGTACAACAGAGCAGATCTGTAGGATTAAACCAGGTCTGTGGTCACATGCCCGGACAATGTCGACCACCGTCTGTCGTGTGAGATCTCGGTGAAACACAGGTGACAAAAGTTGACAACATCTCGACTCGCTCAGAGGAGACAGTTTACAGACTAGCGGTCGGAGCATGGGTGACATGCGCACGCACACACGTGACGTCATGATGACACTGGCGACCACGGTGTCTTCTATCATTTGTTGCAGAAACGAAACAGTCTTCTGATACAAGTCCTTCCGGTCTACAATCGCTTCAAACTTCGTCAAGAGAAAAACTACTCGGAGACTTGGCGTCACTTTGGAAAGAGTTTCAACTGCTGCCAATACGTCACTCTCTGAAAGGTCGTCACCTGCCTCGTAACCCAAGGCAGTAGCCAATGAAATCAACAGCTGCCTCCATGATGTAATTCCAGAACAATGGATAGTGACGTCACGGAGAGCCTCGTTCCCGAGGCCATGACAGGTGCTCCTCAGAACCCGGATTACCTGAAATGAGAGGACATGCATGTCACTGTGTTCAACTGTCACTGAAACAAATAATCCTATTTATACAAATGAACTAATAAATAGACGACGTTTAACATGAACATTATTCTCAGTTTATGATTCGATCTTATACTCAATGCTGAAGGTTATGTTTAATTTTAATCATTGTTTTGTTCTACTCGAAGAAAAATCATAAATTCAAATGTCACAGTGAAATAAAATATATGTCCTTGAATTCAAAGGAGGTTCGAAGCATTGGCGAACATGCGTTCAGTACAATCTATAACTTCTTTCTCGGCAGTTGACCGTGGCCTTGTGGGTAGAGCGTCTACCCAGAGAGCTGAAGGTGGATGGTTCAATCCCCGGTCTCGTCATACCAAATGACGTTAAAGATGGTACTTGTTGTTGCCTTGCCTGTTGCATTGCACGAATTGGGTAAAACAAGGACTGGTCGGATCGGAGTATACTGTGTCCATGTTGGGGTGGTGTAGTCTCCATGTTAAACTGCGGCTTTAGTCTGGACAAGTACAATCAGCCACACACGCACACGCACAAATTCAAACAAACGCATGTGCATGCACGTCGCTGAAATAAGTGCAGTAATCTTGAACGCGACGTTAAACCCTATAACATATAGTCCATTGGTCTTCTTTTTGAGTGAGCTGAGCTAACATCACCCCGGCCGAATCTTGTACTTGGTATAAAGTTAAACAATGGGGTGCCTCTCCGCACAGCGATCGCAGCATCGAGACTCCCGACCTAGGCATCACCTGCCTACATTACACAGTGTGTCTCATTCTGTCACCGTAAAATACCATGAACTCATTCGTCGCATAAGCGGCGCTTATAATAGCCATCCAATCAGATCACGCCCATCAGCAAAAGAAACAATGTGCACTTACGAGAAATGGAGACAGTGGTGGTGACGTCACTTCCAAAAGGAGGCTTATTGGGGTCGTGAACATTTACCATAACAGAATGGACATACAATAAACTGGATTATCGAGGATGACAAAGGCTACGGTGCAATACTTTACCTTTGGGCACAGTATTTGTTACCTCTTTTGCGAAATATGTCTTCCCTGAGGAGATTTCACCGTAGATGACGACCAGGCGGCGTCGGCGTAGATACAGATCATCGTGGATTGCGTCTCTTTGCTCATCACGTGACACGTTAGATTTCTGCATCCTTCCCTGGCCAAGATGGCCAGGAGTTTACCCCGCCACACTACATATCTGTAAAGGAGCGGTTGAACTACATAACTGTAAAGACGGGGTTGAACTACATAACTGTAAAGACGGGGGTTGAACTACATAACTGTAAAGACGGAGTTAAACTACATAACTGTAAAGACGGGGGTTGAACTACATAACTGTAAAGACGGGGGTTGAACTACATAACTGTAAAGACGGGATTGAACTTCATATATATGTAAAGAGAGGTTACACTACATAACTGTAAAGACGGGAGTTGAACTACATATCTGCAAAGAGAGGTTAAACTCCATAACTGTAAAGACGGGAGTTAAACTCCATATATATGTAAGGAGAAGTTAAACTACATAACTGTAAAGACGGGGTTGAACTTCATATATATGTAAAGAGAGGTCAAACTACATATCTGTAAAGACAGAGTTGAACTACATATCTGTAAAGACGGAGTTGAACTACATATTTGTAAAGACGGAGGTTGAACTTCATATCTGTAAAGACGGAGTTGAACTACATATCTGTAAAGTCGGAGTTGAACTACATATCTGTAAAGACGGGGTTGAACTACATAACTGTAAAGACAGAGTTGAACTACATATCTGTAAAGGAGGAGTTTAACTACATATCTGTAAAGACGGGGTTGAACTACATAACTGTAAAGACAGAGTTGAACTACATATCTGTAAAGGAGGAGTTGAACTACATATCAGTAAAGGAGGAGTTGAACTACATATCTGTAAAGGAGGAGTTGAACTACATATCTGTAAAGGACGGAGTTGAACTACATATCTGTAAAGGAGGAGTTGAACTACATATCAGTAAAGGAGGAGTTGAACTACATAACTGTAAAGGAGGAGTTGAACTACATATCTGTAAAGACGGGGTTGAACTACATAACTGTAAAGACAGAGTTGAACTACATATCAGTAAAGGAGGAGTTGAACTACATATCAGTAAAGGAGGAGTTTAACTACATATCAGTAAAGGAGGAGTTGAACTACATAACTGTAAAGACAGAGTTGAACTACATATCAGTAAAGGAGGAGTTGAACTACATATCTGTAAAGGAGGAGTTGAACTACATATCTGTAAAGACGGGGTTGAACTACATAACTGTAAAGGAGGAGTTGAACTACATATCTGTAAAGACAGAGTTGAACTACATATCAGTAAAGACAGAGTTGAACTACATATCAGTAAAGGAGGAGTTGAACTACATATCAGTAAAGGAGGAGTTGAACTACATAACTGTAAAGGACGGAGTTGAACTACATATCAGTAAAGGAGGAGTTGAACTACATATCTGTAAAGACAGAGTTGAACTACATATCTGTAAAGACGGAGTTGAACTACATATCTGTAAAGGAGGAGTTGAACTACATATCTGTAAAGACGGGGTTGAACTACATATCTGTAAAGTCGGAGTTGAACTACATAACTGTAATGACGGGGGTTGAACTACATATCTGTAAAGACGGGGGTTGAACTTCATATCTGTAAAGACGGAGTTGAACTACATATCTGTAAAGACGGGGGTTGAACTTCATATCTGTAAAGACGGAGTTGAACTACATATCTGTAAAGACGGGGGTTGAACTTCATATCTGTAAAGACGGAGTTGAACTACAGTTAATAAGTTCGGCAAATGTTTGCTGTATTTGTGCTCAGTACTTAACATTCACATAATGAATCGGAGATGTGGCTCTGACTCGGATGTTGGTGATTTTACGTACGTAGGTCATAATGGGACTAGTGTCATTGATTATGTTACATTTCACCACAACTATTTCATTGCTGTACTGACTCTATTATTACGTAACATTTCATAGACATTTAGTAGTAAAGGTAATAGGGGTTCTGGACCACTTCCACTGGAGCCAGATTTATTACCTATACTGCTACTACAGGGGGGATTTTTTATGCCAAAATGATTATGCGATTCAATGATAGTCATGAGATTGGCTCTAGCTCACCAATACCTGGGGCCAATCATTGCTTCTGTTAGTATAAAAATGATGATGCGATTCAACGAAAGTCGTTTTAAAAGAAACATCAATATTAATTAATAATGGATAAAATTTACTATAGCCCACGAGGATATTGGAAAGGTGTAGGAGCAATAAAAAAATTAGCCACCGCGGCTAAGGTATCTAAAGATGTGGCCAAGGATTGGTTAAAGAAACAAGCGATGTGGCAGATATATTTACCGGCACCGCGTTATATACCGAGGAAGAAGTTTGATATTGTTACAACGAATGAAGTTCATCAGGATGACCTCTTGTTTCTTCCCCACGATAAGGTAAAACGCAAAACGTATAAATACGCTTTAACCGTTGTGGATGTGGCTAGTCGATACAAAGAGGCTGAGCCATTAACATCGAAAGAATCAACAGAGGTAGCTAATGCACTGAGTCGCATATACAAACGTGGACCGCTAAAATGGCCTAAGCTATTTCAAGTAGATCCCGGTCGCGAGTTTATGGGATCGGTAACTAAACTGTTAACAAAGCATGATGTCGAAATCGTCCGTGGTGAAAGAGAGGCCCACCGCAGTCAAGCTATCGTCGAAAGATTTAACCGGACATTAGCGGAACGTTTGTTTGGCTATCAGTATGGGATCGAAATGAAATCCGAGCGATTGAGATCAACCGAATGGGTGACACGTTTATCAGCCATTGTATCAGCGTTGAATAATGAAGTAACGAGATTAATAGGGAAGAAACCATCCGATGCGATTAAAATGAAATCCGTGACTTCCGAATCTTCAGCACCGAGGAGAGGCAAAGAACGAAAACTTCCGGATAGAGTAAGGGTAAGATATTTATACCAGGCCGGTGAACTCGAAAGGAGGCCTACGTCGCGCAACCGATCCCATATGGTCCCTTAAGACGTATAACATTAGTCGATTGGTTACGAAAGAAGGAGAGCCTATTCTTTATTATCTTCAAGATGGACTGGGTAGGGCATTTGTACGAGAAGAGTTGTTCATAGTTCCCGACGGTACGGTATTACCACCATAACCATAAGCATAGGTATTTACACCATCATTATCAATCCATCTCTTTGTATCTAAGGGGGATAATGATGTCTTGTTCATTCTTAATCCATATATCCTATGATTGTAACTTCTTAAAGAGTTCATCTCGTGTTTGAACGTTCTACCGTTGAATAATGATTCTTTATACTGTTCGTGTTTGATATGCTTTTTTACAACATACTTCTTAACACCCTTAGCTTTTCTTATCTCCCCATTATCGGACTTCTTTATAGAATACATCTTAGGTCTTAATCCTACATACTCCGCTATAGGGGTCCCAGCACATTCATCCTTCATCTTACCTAACACCTTTTTATTTACTACGCTGTGCAGTGGATTATCTTTTGGGTAATCGCTCGTGTCGTACATATCTATTTTTTCTGCCATATCTTTATACACATCCTCGGTTTGTATTTCCAACAACAAAGAATCTGTGTCGGTATATAACACCTCGCATCTATCGCCGTATTGCTTCTTAAGTTCGTTGTAATAAAAGTCATACATTAAGTGTTTTGACAAGTCGAGAATACTCATACCGACGTACACCGGTCTGTTGAATTTTATATTACTCTTCTGCATATGCAACGCGGCTAAGTCATTATCGAATATCTTGCTTCTGTTAAAAGCCGGGCTGGCTATAAGTTTCCTGAGTCTTTCTTCCTCATTAGATCTGACTAATTTAACATCAACACGCTTCCTTAGATTCTCCATAGTTTTACCAAATACCGAGTTATTCATGAGCTTATACAGATTCTTTTCGAAATCGCTGGTAGCTATCTTTCTTAAATCTGTGTTCAACCTTATATAGGGCTCCATCCAAGGGCTTTGATCGAACTTTAGAACTCTGTGTATTTTCTTAAGTTTCATACCTAACGATAGATACAACTGGAGATTTCTGTAGTGAACTATATATTTTGTCTTATCCATCAAATTTGGTACGAGTTTTTCTACGTTAGCTAACCTACTATTACCCATCAAGGAGCGTTGATATTCCGACATCCAATCTTTATTAACCATTAATCTTTCGGGAGCTAGCAGATAACTGTTATGATCTTTATGTAACGAACTTGGATATTCCAAGTCAACTTCTAGTATGTACCCTTTATTCGCATCATTATTATGGATATTAATAACATTGATATTATCGATATCATTGACCCATTCAAAACCACCCGTGGGTAAAGGTTGACTCATAGCCCATCTGTACAAGATGTTGGCGTCGAGATATAATATGTGAGTGTCTGGTTTACTCGGATCGTATCCTTCCACTAATTTATTATTAGCCTTAGAATACCTTTTAGCTGCCATCGATATACCACCTCTTAATCCTTTCTCAATAAACAAGTGCATATCGTAATCTGTGAGTAGTTTTAGTTCTACGCCGGTCTTCTTCAACAATGCATCCCACGATAATCCGGGACTGGAATAGTACCATGCCGGGTCCAAGCCATATTGTTTGAAACATGTCTTTCTAAATATCTCGAATATATCGGCGAGTAACAGTACATCGGTTTTTAAGTACAGATCGTGATAATCGCCTAAATTCTTACAACCTAATTTATCCCAGACCGTCAGAGCGTGTTCATAATCAGCATCTGTTATTCTAGATTCTGTTAAGTTACTATAGAATGATTCGAGGGGTGGTAATTCAGTTTCTTCGAATCTAGACCAATCATCCATATATTCGTAAGGATATACACCTTTTCTCAGCAACAAATGACGAGTTATCTTATCGGTATATTTATTTGTTATGGCAAAGTCATCGGGATTGTTTGCATTAGCTAAATTGTCCAGGGAAGATAACAGAAACTGTACGGAGTCTATGAATCTAAGCCCATTACTTTGCTTTGTTCTAGATTTCCCATCCTTGTCCCTATAATGTATAGGTTTAGTCAACGAGAACGATATGTATTTTTCCATATTGTTAGGAATGCACGTTAAACCGCCGTCGGTTTTCGAGATAGCTTGCATAATGAGATGTGAATCG